AAATACCACGCTCTGAAGATCACTCAAGTTGTGCCAGCGCGAACAGAAGAACTTCTTCTCATGCACTGGGCGCCTGGGCACCCGGCTTGCTATTGAATCCTTATTGTTATCTCAGCCCTTCAGATTGGGACTGCCCTTTCAAAGTCCGTGAATGTGGATCGTGGAAAAGAACGGGAGAGGAGAGAAGGCTGGGGTACATATGTAATGCCGTATACGCTGTCAGATACGATTTAAATTACTTGTGTAAGTAGGAAGGTTGGAAGGACGGACGTTGAAGTTGGGGTTGAGTTCGATGCATGTGTGCTTTCGCAGTGGGCGGGCGTTATTTTCGGGGGGAGCGAGAAGGGGATAGGGATGGCAGGATGAACGTTGAACACCGGACGCCGTATACATTGACACTAAGCGCGCGGGAAGTCTAAGTACATAGGGTCTGGAGACGGCACCCCATTCGAGCCTTTGAAACTCGAGGCGCAGCGGCTGGATTGACTGAATTGGCGAAAGTGGGAGTGGGAGTAGAGTAGAGTAAAGGCACCGAATCTCGTTCTTCGAGGTGCTTGTCAAATATGGTTCATGATGGATGCCTTGTACAGTTTTGTATTATGCCATATGTAGAGTACTCTACTTACTTCGCCTACGGGTGGTTCATAGTACTGGTGTTCGAGCGGCCTCACTTTCGAGGGGGTCATAAGTTAACGGCATTAGCATTGAATGTTGATTGTTGAACGCCTCTGCGAGCGGTGGCGCGTTGACAACCTACTCTACATACTTACCTTACTGGTTCCGGAGTATGAAGATGGTCGCGGTGGAATTTCCAGAGACTTGATCAAGGGTGACTGGCCATAGATGGCCATTGAAAATCTACAGGGAATACTGAGGATGTTCGAATTCAACACCATACTCTACAGTTGACTCTTCAAGCGGTCCGACTCTCGTCAGATGAATAAGAGCCTCCTTACCTGAGCGTGAATACACTGCGATCCATCCCGCCCGGATTCACGTTGCGCCATTCAGCATCGGCGTTCAACCTCCAAGTCCAAATTCGGGTCTTTCCCCATGACTATCATTATCTTCCGCATTGTTAAGACCCAAGGCCCCGTTAAACCCATCGGCATGGCCGACCGAACCCAATTCAAATCCAAATCCAGATCGACGAACTTCGGAAGTATATATTCTTTACGTTGGCTTGCATTGAGTTCACGACTTGGTGGCTGTTCGACCGATGATGGGGGCGTGCGCAACCGGCGGGCTGTGGCGTATGTACGCCGTAACGCATAACGGCCAAGCTTGGTTCGACGCGGGGTTGGATAGAGTACTATTAACCGAGTATTAACCGAGTTCGAGTTTGTGAGCGTGGACGGGGACGGGGCGGGGATAGGGACAGGGACGTTGTCGTGCTCGGCGGTGGCACGCCGAGAGGTGCGCGTGGGACGGACACCACTGAGTGTGTCTAATCAGTACTTCTCAAGTGGGCTGCCAAAACGCCTGAGCTGGCTTCGTGAACTTTCAAGCGGTGCGCGCTCAGCAGCATTGCAAGGCTTGATTAATGATTAATGATTCCCGAACCAATTTAAAACGGGTCGCTCTCCGACCCCTCGCCACCTCAGGACATCTACTCTATACGCAGTCACATTTACCGTCCAGGATCTCCCACAGTGAGCTACTTCTCATATCCAGAGGTCGTGGAACAGAACAGCGCGTCGAGACGCACCGCACTGCAAGCGGTTGCCTATTTGGGACTGAGTGCGCCACACTGGCACTTGCGCTCGCGATCGCCACGGCATATGCATGCATGGAGCCTCTCGATCTCAATTTGGTGAGAATAGCGCCGTCATAGAATCTCTTCGGAGTGCCGAATCACAAATCGAGACTGCGTTGCAGACTTGCAGTGAGTGATCGCGTTCCGAGTCGTTCGTTAGATGAGCATGGTCCCACTGCGCACAACCGTATAAGTATAATGTACAGTCTCCTCAAGTTGTAAAGCAAGTCGCCTATCCGGAGCTGTTCAACTCCATTCCGGTCAATGCCATCGCCTTGATACTCACTGCAGTGAGTGTGTTTCGTCATTACACTTCACTTCACCCCACCGATGATCTTGTCTTAGATTGAGTGTAATCTCGATGAGTGGGTTACCGGAATCAAAACCGATGTCACCTTCTGGGCTGACGAGTACCGGCCATGGGAATGGGAATTGGGTCAGCGGAGTAAGTACTCTAGATTTGTACCCTGTACTTATGCTTATGCCCATGCTTTAAGCTTAGGCAGGCAGGGGCCCGAACTTGAACTGGAACTTGAACTGGAACTTGAACGCGTCTGAGTAGAGTAGGTCCCGGGGTTGAAAAGTTGACACTTGAACTCGAATGAGAATTCGGGGGTGGAGGTGGAGGGAGAGAGGCAGAGAGGCAGAGCGGCAGAGGCAGAGCGGGAGAGGCAGAGGCAGAGCGGGAGAGTGAGATCTGGGTGGTGGTGCCGTGGAGCTCGAGGTGAGAACCCCAGGCCTAGGCCTCAGCGCTCGCGCTCAGCACTCAGCCTTTAAAACTATAAATGTAGCGAGCACAGACCAGTACTTCGTAGGCCTGAGGCGGGATTCAATTTATTTACTCTAGATCTGCCTGTGCAGTAGTTACTTATGTTCGAGGCGCCGGCGGTGTATATGTAAACGTACGTACGTATCCCGAGACGCTGCAGTGTGCAGGGAGCGCTGGGAACCTCGGATGGGTGTGTATGCGTATGTGTATGTGTATGTGCCGTTTGAAAGGTTTGAGTTATAAAGGATGTCGACGCTTCTATAGAGCTCGCGCATTTGAATTCTGAGAGCTATATATGTACTCTATATTGGATCCCGGCCTGGGAGGTGGGTTAAGTCCTCGTACTAGATCGTACTCCATAAGTAATGGCCCATCTCCCTATGTAGGTGGCCCACCTCCATCTCCCTCTACTTCTACGTGTTTTTCCAGGTTTATTGGTAATGGAGAGGGACACGGCGATGAGTGATGAGTGATGAGTGATGAGTGATGAGTGATGATCGATGGGCGCGGACGGGGGTATGTATGATCCCGAGTCCTCATACCCTCGGCCACTTGTCAGACTCGTAAGCATTTCTAAATTTTATCATGTTTTCTGCACATAGCGTCTCGTATGATATGATATGATGTTATCGTACATAGAGTACATACCTCGTACATAACTATTACTTACCTAAGTATACGTACTTGTGCCTGCGCAGACCATGATACACTGGCATAGAACTTGAAGGAAAAATGGTGATACTTACAGTGCACACTGTACGAGTCGTGATTTGCGATTTGTGATTTGTGATACGTGATACGTGTGTCGCGGGCGCGTAGCGCGCAGTGGTCAAGTAATATTGCGTAAAGGAAGGAAGGAAGGATTAAATTTTAGACGCCGGGGATGGGATGAGTAAGCAGGTGGGTGGGGAGGTCACGGAGATGTGCCGGTGCCGGCGTCGGGCAGCGTCGGGCGGGGTGGGGTGTTTTGGGTGGTCGGGTAAAGGGGTAAAGGTTTGTTGGGGGAGGTGGTGCGCCTTGCTGCGCTGGGACCCTGAGTGATGCAGCGGGAGCGGGACTCGGGATGGGGAATTTGGAAGGGAGGGTGTTATGATCGCCGGCGAGAGGTGAGGTAAGTCGGAGGATGTAAGTATGCAAGTAAGTACGAAGGTATGCAGGAGTAAAAGGACCGGGAAGTGGGAGGGGTGGAAGGGAGGGGATGGTAAAGATTTCATGAGAAGGGAGAATAAACGAAATGAAAGGAAAAAGATGGAAAAGATGGAAGAAATAGGATGAAGGTGAGAAGAAGGCTCGGAAGCGAAATGAATGCGCATTTACTATGAGCCCATTACGAGCGCTGAGCAGAGCAGGAGGGCGTCGAGCGCCTCGCCTGACTCCCAGACTCGACACACCAATAACCTGCGAGGAGCCGATGCCACGGGAATCGCGTGGCGCAAGTGCGTAAGCGATTTGATTTGATGACGCGCTCGCAGAGATCAAAGAAATCATGATCGCAGCCTTTATTCGGGAATGCGGGGTATTTGGCGGGACCGGAGGTGGGGATGAGCGGGAGGGAGAAAGGAATAGGCGTAGGGAGGCAGGGAGGAGGTGGAGGCAGGAGGGGTGGTTACGCAAGTACGTACGAGAGTAAGTAAGAAAGGCGGGACGCAGGACGTACGGGGCCCGGACAGACGGGCAGACACTGGACGGACAGGCGGACAGACACTGGACAGGGAGCTGGGGGCCGGGATCGGACGCGCGTGAGATGGGAGATTTGACGTCGATGCGATAGATCTGCAAGTCCATAGACGAGCCGGGTCGGTCGGTCGGTCGGTTCGCTCGCCACCCGACCGGCCTTGATGAATCGATTCTGATTGGCCGTGTGCAAATACTGTTGGTGTTGGTGTTTGTATGCGGACGCAGGCTGATAACCTTTGCTCGCTCCCTCTTCCTACGCCTTATACTCACTCACTCAGCCGTTATCGGTACACTGACTCGTGCTGTTCGAGCTCCTACCTACCTTCGAATCCTGCTCGTGTTCGCCCAGCGCGTCTGTCTTCCTTCTATCGAGCTCGAGCTCTCGCAGATCCCCTGGAGCGACTCTAGGATTGCACTTGCGAGCCGAAAGCAGCAAGCAAGCTTACCGAGCCCGATCGTCGCACGCGCGGCCGAGAGACTGGACGACTGCGCCTGTGCACCGGCCTACCCCGCATTCCCCACACCCGGCCACCGATCATCACCGTCCTCCTCGCTCCTACCACCACCACCACCAGCGACCGTCCTCTCTCCTGACTCATTATCGTCGTTCCCTTCCCACTCACCAGCAACTCAATCAGTCTCGCTTCTCCACATTACTTACTTACCTCACCAAACAGCCCTTACCGGCCGACCATCGGACCACACCCACCCTGACCCATCCCTCACGCTCACCATCTCACTCAACCCCACTCACTTATCCTCCGACTCTACTAACCCACCCCAACCCATCTCACCAACATGTCCTACTTCTCCAACACCCCCTACAAGCCCCAAATCCGTCAGGAAGGGTTCTCACCGACACCCGCTACGAACGCCAACGCCGCCACGCCCGATCCCCCCTCGCCCGACTCCCAATCCTCTGTCGGCCCCAATGGTGGCAGTGGTAATGGCAATGGGGGAGCAGGCCCGGGGTTCAGCGACATCTTCGGCGTGGGGCCTATATTCCCGGATAATGGCGGTTCTTCTGGCTCTGTGGGAGGACGCAGGTCATCTTCGAGTGGAGGGGGGGAGACGATGGACTTTTCGGAGGAGCTCGCGTCGCTGATGGGCGATAACAAGCATGCGCAGAATGGATGGCACCATCAAACTCAACACCAACATCAACATCAACACCAGCACCAGCAACAACATGGAGGACAGCAACATGGAGGCCAGCAGCAGCAAGACGAGTCCCAGCGCTACACCGCCGCGACGACGCACAACATCTTCGACATCAGCGCGCCTGCTGGGGTGAGCGTCAACGGGCACCATCAATCGCTTTCCTCTTCCCACCAACATTCCCATTCCCTCTCTGCCTCGCACCCTCTTTCGTCCTCGCACCCTCTTTCGTCCTCGCACCATGCCCATTCCCTCTCCGCCTCCCATCACTCGACACACTCGATCCACCACCAACACCAGCACCAGCACCAGCACTCGGGCTCGATACATTCGCAACACTCTTCCTCGTCGACCATAAACGTCAACGGCGCCCATCCCTCCTCCGTCTCATCTACCACTTCGGGGTACGCCCAGGGCGGCGGGGCTGGTAGCCAGCCTTCGTCGTTGCACTCCGATTTTCAGGGGATGGGAACAGGAGGTGGAAGCGGACTGGGAGGAGGCTACTTCAACTCGACCCTCCCAGCGCTCAACTCGAGCATGCGGTACGATCCGGACCCGCCGCCTCTTCCTCTTCCGCCATTATCCTCTATTCCGCCTCTTTCCTCCTCTGGGCCTCTTTCGTCTATCCCCCCTCTTTCGTCTATCCCGCCGCTTTCGTCTCCGACGTCGACGACTGGCAACCCACTTCAAGGGTTCACCCGACACACCCCGTCTCCGAGTCACCACTCGGTACATTCGCCGGTGTTGCCTCATCATTTGGCGAGCCGCTCGCGCTCGCGTTCGCGCCCGCCCACCTCCGGGTCTTCAGGCAACCCTCCTTCCACTACCAACCCCGCTGGTGCAAACGCCAACGCCTCTTCTGGCAACCCGTCGACGGCCAACCCATCGTCGTCCACGTCAAACCCAGCTTCAAGCTCAACCGCAGGAAACGCTACCACCCAACAGGGCCACCAGAGCCAACAGGGCCAACAGAGCCAGCAGAGCCAGCAGAGCCAACAACCCCAGCACCAGCAGCAGCAAAGCCAAGGCAGCATCGGACCAGCCCGCACTGACCGAACCACCCGCTCGAGGCGGAACAATTCAGTGAGCAGCACGTCGCCGCCTCCGTTCGGACATGGACATGGGGGGCATGGGCATGGGGGGAGGCCGCATGCTATTGTGATTCCTGGAAGCAGGGGAGGGGGTGGGGGTGGTAATGGACAGGGAGGAGGACAGGGTGGTGGTGGACAGGGTAATGGACAGGGTAATGGGGGAGGAGGAGGACAGGGAGGAGGAGGACAGGGACAGTGGTTTGGCGTTGGGAGCTCGTGAGTTGTGTCTTTTTTTTCGTTTTGGGTTTCGGTTTTGGGTTTTTTTTTGTGGTGGGGGTTTTGGGGTTTTGTTTTTTGTTTTTTGGAGGGGGTGGTGGTGGTGGTGGTGGTTTTTGTTGGGTGGGCGTTTTGGTGTTGTGTGTTTTTTGAATTTCGCAGCTGTGCTTGGTGCTTGGTTCTTACTTCGTGGTTCTTGTTCTTATTCTCGTTCTTGGTTTCGTTTCACGCTTCTGTGGTTTCGTTCTTTCTTCTTTGGATCGAACTGCCTTTGCTGAACTGCCTTTGCTTCACTTCACTTCACTTCATTTTATAATGTGGTGTGGTGTGGTGTGGTGTGGTCTGCAGTCTGCAGTCTGCACGTTCGTTGCGTTGCCTTCGCAGAATGTCTGCGAGTCTGCGAGTCTGCAGCCTGCGAGGTTGTCATACTTTCTTGTTTCTTTCGATGTCTCTTCTCTTCATTTTGTGGTGTGGTGCCCTGCGGTGGGCGTTCGGCGTTCGATTTCATTCGATTTTTCATTCGTTTCACTTCTTTTCTTATTTCACTTCGTTTCGACTTCTTTTTCATTCGATTTCATTCGATTTCATTCGATTTCATTCGATTTCATGAGCTTATTCGCTCGTGTCTACGCCCCGTCGGGCGTCTACCGTCTGGTGTCTGGCGATTCTGTTCCCTTTCCACTTGTTTTTTTTTTTATCAAGGCCGACACCTCAAGTCTGTTTTTTTTTTTTTTAATTCGTCGAGAGGAGGTGGGAGGGCGAGACGGCGAGGCGGAGAACGCGATGGGCTGCGCCTCTCTTGTCATAGAGGCCAGCGAACATTTTCTGGCAAAACCAGAACGAGGACAAAAACGAGATCCTGGGCTGCAGTTCGTTCGCACTTATTTCTATTTTTCCCGTGGACGAAGGTCAGGGGGTTAGAGTACCAGGTTTCTTTTTTCCTCTTCTCTTCTTTTGTCGGGTTTTTCATGTCATTTCTGTATTTTACAAGATTCTTGTCGTTCCTTCTGCCTCTCCTCCATCATGCAGGTAAAATAACCCCCTCCTCTTCACAGTGCATCCGAATACTCCCTCCCAACACCCTCTTCGGACACCTACCACGCCCACTCACCCTCCCTCACCCAACTCCATTCGCCGCACTCACCTTCGCACCTCTCGCCCCTCAGCCAGCACCCAGCGGGGTACAACACCTTCGGGCTCTCACCCCCCGAACACGCGCATCCGCACTCCCTATCCCACTCGCAGGGCCTGCCGCCCGTTAGCACCCTGGGCGTGGGCAAGACGCCCAACGGCGGCCAAGGGCAAGGACAGGGCGTCGACCCGTTCGCGTTGGGAGGGTTCGCAGGCCTGGGCGGGGGCGGGCTGGGCATGGCGGGCATGGGCAGCTTGGGAATGGGCAGTTTGGGCTCAATGATGGGGTATAGCAGTCAACACCACGGGACGCACCACCACCCGGGCCATGGGCACCATCCAAGCCAGCACCAGCACCAGCACCATGCGGGTATGCCGAGCTCTGTGCCCTCGATTGGAGGTGGTGGGGGCGGGGGTGGGATGGGAAGTATGCAGTTGGGGTCGCCCGGGCTGGGGTCGCCGGGTATTGGCGGCTTGAGCCTTGGTGGGCTCGGAGGGATGGGCGGTGGGGGCGGGCTGCACTCGCCCCTGTCCGCCTCGTTACCCTCCGCGTCCTTACTCTCTGGTGCGGGCCCGCTCTCGCTCGGCTCCTCCCTCCCGTCCAACACTACCTCTCCCAACTCTACCACGAACACGAACGCTACCACCACAGGAGGAGGGACAGGAGGAGGCGCGTCGCTCAGCCCCGCGGACAAGCAGTCGCTCATCGCGAGCGAGAAGAGGAGAAGGAGGAGGGAGAGCCATAATGCTGTTGAGAGGCGGCGGCGGGATAATATCAACGAGAAGATTAGTGAATTGGCGACGCTGATCCCGGAGTGTATGTTGGATGGGGCGGGTGGGAGTGGGGGTGGTGGGGGCGGAGGTAAGTCCAATTTATCTCTCTCGCACACACAGTGTAAATTGTTGACGGCAACCGTAAAATTTCTAGGCTCACCTGGCGCCCTTCCCTCCCCCGGCGGCCTGCTCGACGGCGCGGACCCCTTGCTGCCGTCATCGATGAACGGCGGGGATAAGAAGGATAAAGACAAAGATAAGGAGAAGGAAAAGGAGGTGAAAGGCGAGGACGGGGCGGGCAACGAGCCCGCGGAGGGCGGCGTGGTCAAGGCGAACAAGGGGATGATTCTGAGGAAGAGCGTCGAGTATATCCGGTGCGTTGTCCTATTTCCCGACATAAGGGAGGAAAGGAAGAGGCTGATGAGGTGGGGGTTGCGATGCGAATATAGGTACCTCCAGCAGCTCGTCACGGCGCAGGGCGCGCGCAACCGCGAGCTCGAGCAGGAGCTCAAGCGGTACCGCGGCTCGGCTGGCTCTGCGGGGTCCGGCGGCCCCGGCTCGGACATGGGCGACTCGTCGGGCTCGCCGTCCTCCTCTACCGCCCTGAACTCGTCCCTCGCCTCCTCCGGGCTCAACGCCTCCGCTATGAACGCCCTCAAACCAGGCGAGGGCGGGCTGAACATCGACGTGGACGGGGACGACGAGATGATGCTGCATGACGATGGCGGCGGGCTGCACTGGGGCGGTGTGAACGTCAACGTCGGCGTGGGGATGTTGCCTTCCATGCCGGAGGGCGAGGACGAGGATGCGGATGAGCGGGAGCACGACGCTTCTGGCTCTGGCTCGGGCGGGAACATGGATGTTGATATCCCTGGGCCGGTGGAGAAGGAGGAAAGAGGGCGGACGAGGAATGTGAGGAGGGCGGTGGGCATGAACGGCGGTGGTGTGTCGTTGAAGGAGGAGGTGAATGATGATGACCAGCGTGTCCTTGGTGGGTTTGGGATGGGTATGGTTGGGATGTCGACGTGAGGAAGGGGTGGTTGGGTGATGACGAGGATGGATTATGGTTGTTCGTCAATGTCGGAATCGGCCTCGGTATACTTTGGACGACCTCCAAGAGGCGAAACTCGAAAAATATCCCGGCTCAAAAGTCGAACGCACGAGGACAAGAACAAGAACAGAGAAATACACGTTGCTCGACTGCCGACGCTGGTATACCTACCTCCAAGTCTGCCTGTTTAACGGCTGTATGTCTCGGCTGCACCCCAGTCCGCTCTCTCCCTCCAATTTCCTACATGCGCGAGTGTCGCCTCCTCCCATCTTCTGATTCAACACGATCGGCGTGCAACCCGCCTTGACGAGCCAAAACGCCTCCGCCGAAACACGATTGCGACGAACCTATCAACGACGACGAAACGCTCCATATCCACCCTCACAAAAAATGCTTTCTTGGTCTATTATTCGATTTGCTCTCCAAAATGGCGTTCGGGTCATATCTCGCTCGTCTTTCCCTGCCTATCAGTTTATTATGACCCTCTTCCTTTCCCTCGTCATACCCTCGTCTACCGTTCTTTTTTCCCTATGCATGATTCCTCCGCCTCCGAACGCCGTCTACCCTTACGGAATGAAATGCGAAAATTGAGCTGTATTATGTATTATCACTCACTCATACCCTTGTTTTCTCACCTTCTTTCCCTTGTTTTCTCCTGCTTCCTTTCACTTTCTATTCTCTTCCATCCTCTTCTTCTCAGCTTTCCCATTCTGCTTCTCACATCTCGCTCTCTGTTCCTTTACTTCCCACTTCAAGCTCCTTCTCAACGCTTCATCCAATCGGTACCTATTATTGCTTGTAGTAGCTACTTTGCATTCAACATTCAAACTTCTGAACTCCCAATCTCAATCGCGACGTCCTTCCATTCTTCGATTGTATCCCTCCCATCCATCCATCACCTTCGAACGTTAGCTAAAATCTTCCGATATTTCCACTCCAACCCCTAGTCTTTGACTTTTTTCACATCGAGGCCGAGTCCGACCTCCCACCACAAAATTCCGTCGGGTCGTTCATTCCAGGACGGGCGACGACTGCTGTTGTATTTTTCGCCGTTCTTTCGTTCGTATACTCTATTCTGAATGTAAAACCACCCAGTGTACCTCCTAGTCTTTCCTCTTTGAATGCACACTTTCTTCAGCTCTTGATCCCTCCCCGCAATACCCCCCTATATCTCATTGCCCCAAAGCCGCCGACACTGCCTCCTATCTCTTCGGGTATCTTCCGGCCCGGAGAAGCAAGCGCTCGCAATCGGACCTCCTCGCCGAGACGAACTATGCTGAACCGCGTCAGTCGGGTTGTCAAGTAGGTAGATACACACCCTGGATTGTTGGATTGTTGACGTTCGGACGGAGCGAACCATCGGATCCAGCGTGTACCATCCAATCATCACAATGGGTAGTTGACCACGACGGATTTGCAACGGATGGATCCCCCTTTCGCCTCGCACCGCAGACTTCTGGCGCTGATGAGCGAAAAGAGCATCCTGAAGGACAGTCATTCCGTGCACAAGAAGCGGCGGTGAACTCGGAGGTTGGGACCCTCCGGTGCCGAACGCGAGTCTTCTTGGACAGGCTAGACAGCAGCGGTAATGGCGCTGGCATATCCGTTTGAAAGGCTGATGCATCTGAGGGCTTGAAGGATGGAAGACAGCTGCGGTTGACGTTGCCGCTCGTAGAGCGCTTGTACCTGTGTCGTTAAAAATTATAGGACGGCCTCTGCGTCGGAGCTCAGCCAGACTTCCTTTCGTGAGGATGGGGGTGCGGGGACGTCTGCTTTTCCAAGGGGATAGGTAGGAATTGGGTAACTTGATACCTTCGTATATTGACGTGAGTTAGGCGATAAGATAAGAGGGTGGCTTGGTACGATCTGAGAGACTTCTCTGGTGCTTGGACTCGGTAAAACGGACGGTCGTTCCGAGAACGATTGAACGATTGGGCCTCGACAACGGACCAGGACCGCGTTTCCCAATACCCCATCGAGCTGCCACATCCAGCGATAGACGAGAGGCCTAGCTGATCGTGATTGACGCGGAAATGTAGAGGGTGTGCTACGTATCGATAGTTTGCTTTATGAACGGCCTGGTGGCTTGCAGTGGCAGGAACCCCACTGCACGCAGGTCCGCAAAATTAAGGAAGCAGACGGAGTCGGAGTACTGGTGGGGTGGATGACGCAAGAGACTCGAGGTGTGTCCGACTCTGTACATATGCTTACTTCTCGTTGGAGGAACGAAGAGGATCTTCCAGGGGGTATACTATAACAACCTCGTTCTAGCGTACTTGCTTGCTTTCATTATTAACAGCCAATAGTCTCTCGAATGAACGGCCTGTTCTCGGCTCCCTATAGCTAACGTCCTCGACCTGCACCGAGTCATCTTGGCCAAATTATGATTTTCCCGTGCGCCTCCTAACCAAAAGGAGACCCTCGGAGACTCCACGCATGCCTCTGTTTCATTCTCAAAATTGTCGACGAACCATCGATTGACGAGAAATGCAGAGGGGATAGCATATAGATCGATAAATCCGCGCCTCTTCAGATTTCCATTGCCTTGAAGTGTACCGTATCCTCTTGAAGGTTCAGAACTTGCACTGGTTGTTTGATAGGCATGAAAGTGATCTTCTGAGCGAACCTTTCTCTTAATGGACTAATAATTCTCAGTGGCCCCCGCGATGACCCCGGGACAGGATAGCTGGGCCCTCTGGTGTACCCGGCGGTGGTATAGGGAAAGAGAGCGTGCAGGACATGGTGGCGCTTATCCTTATGGGGCTGGCGACGGTTTTGCTGATGTCTTAGCAGCCGAAGAACAATCTCTATTGTGCGGAGACTGAGTAAACCGCTGTCCAACACAACTACCAAAGTAAATACGGCAAGCTGAATATTAATGCACGTACAAAGATACCTTTCATTGGGTGTATCCACTTCAAGTTCGCAGAGGCTGCAAGCTTCGTCCGGGTCGTCGAAATAGGTATTCGCGCTGCGCTGGGGGACCTGGATGTAAACATCCGCAACTTGAACTTTTTGAATGGGAAAGCTTCACGGAAGTTGCCGTTTGCGATCTGTGTTGTCGCTTGCTTTGCTTCGATATCCCATCATATCCATATCACTCATTCTACTCCAGTACGATCTCATCGGTTACATGGGTACCCGTGGACTCCTAGGGTACATCATAGGCGCTGTTCGCCATGCAGCATACAACCAATATGATTCTTATCCCGGGGGCCTTGGCCATGGCATTATCGAATTCATCCTCAGCCTTAACGGTCCTGATGACTACGAGAAGATGGACAGCCTTGTTCGTAAAATTACGGTAAGACCGCTTACGCCTTTCTTCAAATAGCTGATATTAGAATGTCTGGAAAGTGGGTAGATAAGAAGTCGACCCCCAGCCCCGAGCTACAACGGAAGTACTCTGAAATGGGATTTTCTGACTGGGATGTGTACGGGCGACCGGATCAACATCTTGATTGGCATACCCTGTTGCATGGAATTCAAGGCGCAATAGCATTGTCTGCTATTCAGAGTGGCAATTTGGAGCATCTAGTCGAAAGTAGTATGTGCTGATCTAGTAATCTGCTGAGGGTTGTTCTTCTTGCTCATTCCAGCTTCATTTTTAGTTGATTTCCTCAAAGATGGCCTCTTCTGCGAGTGGGCCTATTTCATCGACTTCAAAAATCAGAAACTCGAGACATGGACAGATGGACGGAAATGGAGAGAGACAACTTTTCAGGTTATCCTTGAAAGGCGGCACACTGCCAATTACTGGGATAAGGATGACGATGATAAAGGCTCAGAAAACAAATAGGAAGGTGGCATTATACAAATCTCAATGATCGTCTATGACGAGTGTAACAACAAGCGTATAAAAATGACATGTCAGGTGAAAGAAGCCTGCAATAATTTTGCAACTTCGACCTCCTGGTAGTACAATATTATTATGCACTTTTAACTATGTGACCCAAGCTTCCGTTCTAGACAGCGGGCAACCTGGCTGTGTCTTGCGGATTGCACATTGGACAGTACCAGTCCGTGAGGATCTTATCTTCTGATTCGAAGAGCCTGATAATTCGGCTAAAACCTGGGGCGTAGGAAATTAGCGTACGCGTGTGCCGCCCACGCTAATCCACGTCATTCAAGTAGAAGATATGATCGTCTGCCGTAAGGAAAATGGTCGCCAAATATTCCAATTCCGTGTCCTTTTACTTCTCCTGCTTATACAATGCCCTCGTGAGGAGGTCCATGTAATGTTCACCATACTTAGTCCCGGAAGCTCGCATCGGCCACATGCTGTCCAAAGGTCCAAATCTCCAGTGTCTGGTTCTCGAAGTCGATGAAATACGCCCACTCGCAGAAAATACCATCCTCGAGGAAATCAACTAAAAAGTGTTAAGCACAAGAAGAACCCTCGTCTCGGGGGAATGCAGTGTCGCCACGTACTACTTTCAACCATGTGCTTCAGAATTCCACTCTGAATAGCGGGCAACGCCGTTGCGCCCTGAATCTTGTATAGCAGACAAAACCAATTTGTGGGGCCCTTGGAACCCGCTTCTGTCACGCAGAACCCCATTTCGGAATATACTCGAGGGAGTACGACCATACCGTAATTTTGCGAACAAGTTGAGCCATCTCCGCGTAATCTTCAGGTCCGTTGAGGCCGAGGATGAATTTGACAATATCCGTCCCAAGCCCGCAGGGATAATAGTCATACTGATTGAATGCTGCATGACGCTGGGCAGCTATTATAAAACCTAGGAGCCTGCGAGTACCCACCTAGCCGAAAAAGGTCATTGTGGCGGATTGTCGACACGCTGTGATGGATGTCCGGGTCGAAGGAGATAGCAAGCACGGATATGGAAATCATACTCCCGCCCCTGTTATATTTGGCTTAATAGACGCGTATTCCTGTTGGAAGAGATGCATGTCCATAACAGCTTACCTTTGATTCTCAAGGGGCTCACTTTGTTACAGACGATCTGTGAATGGAGTTGAACATGGTGGGCTGAGAGACCCGCACCGAAAACCATAGATATCGCACTGGTACTCTCAGCTCTGCAACGGATGCAACTGTATTTCAGAAGGATGGCGGCAGTGGCTCAGGCTTCTCAGTCGTTAATTTATTTCAACTCAACGTAGTGCCTACTAGGTGGTTCACAATGACCAGTTTGATCGCCATGTAGTGCCCTCACGAGGAGGTCCATGTAATCTTCACCGTACTTAATCAGCTCCTGGAAGCTTGCTTCGTCTACTTGATGTCCACAGCTCCAGGTCTCAAGCTTCTGATTGGCGAAGTCGATAAAATACGCCCATTGGCATAAGATGTGTTCCTGGTCCTGATGACCACGAGAAGATGGACAGACTCGTTCGTAAAATTACAGTAAGACCGCTTACACCCTTCTTGAAGTAGCTGATATTGAATTGTCTGGAAAATGGGTGGACGTTCATTTGAGTATTAGGTGCCCTGGGACTTCTTCTGCTCATATAGCGCCCTCTTGAGGAGGTCCATGTAACTTTCGCCATACCTCTTTAGGTCCTGGAAGCTCACATTTGCCACATGGTGCCCAAAGGTCCAAGTCTCGAGTGTCTGGTTCTCGAAGTCGATAAAATACGCCCACTCGCATAAGATGTGTTCCTGGAGGAAATCGGCTATGGAAAGGGAAGTAAGAACAACTCTCATCATGCAATGTCACTACGCACTACTTTCGATCATGTGCTCGAGGTTGCCACTCTGAATAGCAGGCAATGCTGCCGCGCCTCTCAGCTTGTACAGCAGATACCACCACTCCGCAAGCTTCACCACTCTCTTTTCGGAGAACCCCATCTCTGAGTATTTTCGTTGCAGCTCGGGGCTGGGAGTCGCGTTCATATCTACCCACTTTAACGCACTCCTCAGTTTGAAAAAATACAAAGGAGAACACGGTCTTACTGTAATTTGGCGAACACGTTTATCCATCTCCATGTAATCTTCATGTCCGCTGAGGCCGAGGATGAATTTGACGATATCCGTCCCAAGGCCGCTGGGATAAGAGTCTGAATCGCTGTATGTTGCATGGCACCGGTCACCCATGATAAAACCTAGGAGGCCGCGAGTACCCATCCAGCCAAAAGGGTCGTTGTGGATGACGGTCTGAGGAAAAGGAGTCACGCAGATGGCACGAACACATTTGGAAATCGTTGCGGCGGCAACTCCCGTGTCTTCCAGTTGCGATCCCGATGCACACAAAGGCGCACTGTACCTATCGGAAGACACAAAAATTCATCGCAACTTGTTGATCACTCTCGACGAGTTGCATGACTATTCTCGGTAATCCAGACGACCAATGAATGTCCGGACGCGACGGATAGTTAAGGCGAAGGAACTACTGGTGTTTCTCGCCAGCAACAGCGTCAGCCTGGCTATGAGTACACGGGAACGAGGGTGTCGTAGACCGATGGCACCAAGGTAGGCACTTTGGAGACGAGGACGCCTCAAGCACCTGAAGGCTGATGCGTTTGCATGCATCGAGCGATATGAAAGGCCAAAAAACAGCTCCAAGATTAGACAATGAAGTCGGCCCTACGCACGTTCCGGAATCGAGGAGCTTAATCAGAGGCTAGCAAGGGCATTATGTGGGGGAACTCCTTCACCCGAACTCCATAGACCTGGCTTCGCGAAGGGTCGAAAATCGCATTTGCTATTAAAATAACATAGTTGAGCACCTCGAAAGCGATTTCGGAGACTCTCTAGTCCGCAGGCCTCTGATGAGGTGCACCTTCCAGCTCTTCCCCATGCCACAAATGTTGTTGGTCCAAGGATGGTTTGCGATCGGACATATCGGATTTTCTGAGATAAAGCCATTTGGAAGAGCGCGAGACCCAACCTGCTTTCAGTCTCCCTTTTTCATACTTCAAATGCGCGGAAAGACCTGGCTGGCGTCACTGAAAGGTATTCAAACACGAAAGGCATGCTGAAAGGCCAGCTAGACGAGTTATAGCGGTGAAGATCCGTCCGGGTAACCCCGCCGTCTAATGGAACGACGGAAGAGCGAAGTCTCTAGTAGATCAGGCCGCTACAGCTTCTTCGAATCGACCCAGGGCGGTGTCGTGGGTCCGTATAAACCGACCGCGAACCAGCAGGTGGCTCGTTCACCAACACACGTGCGGCGGGCGAACAGAAGATCGGGTCAATGGGGAAGGAAGGGCCCGAAAAAGCGGGTGAATAGAGTGATAGTGTTTTGAATGGCGGAGGTAGAGGGTCGATTCCCGAAGTCTTGTTAACCACTAACTGACAGATGACGGGCGACGGAGCAGTGACGATATGCGGGGGAAGGAGGCGAGGATCTTCCACTTCGTGCTGAATGAGCATCAGGTCTTCTTTCGCTCTTGAGATTGCCATTTGTGAGCAGCGGTCTCAGTCTTCAGAGAAGCCAACTTCCAGCGGCGATCTCGGCCATCGCAAGCTCGGGCAGCATGTCGACCAATGCGAAATTTAGGGGTGGGACATAGTAACTTCCCCTTCTTTTGTCTGGGCTTCGCGAGCTGCAAACAAAATCAGTCTAAAAAAGATGAACGTTGCGAAGGAGTTGAGCCTCACTTTATGCGAGCTTTATCCATCGGGATCGGGCGCCATGCGGATGCATATGTTAAATATCGCATGCTTCCATTGGTGCAAGTCCGGAGCGGAGGAAGCAGAACGGATTTTAGCGCTGTCTTGTCATGATTGCGGGGACAAACCACGGAATGCGGGGTAAAGAGCATGAGCGCTGAGACCTGAGAACCGGCCCGTCCTAATAATTGCTTTAAACCCCGAAGTTCTATGGAGCACGCGGTGAGAGGCTTTCGGAGAAATGTCACTGAATTCTTACCCTTTCTTTAACACATGGATTGGTTATTGAGATTCCCACTTCCGTCGGGCCTAGCTTTCCTATTCCCCTTGAGGTGGCTTGAGCAAATAGGAAAGAAAAAAGGTGCAGTAGAGCGTACCTGCAATAATGAAGTGATCGACTAGGCGGGGATTATCGCCGAGCCATGGTGTCCTCTAACGCCACACGGAGTTGACAGGAGTGGGAGTTATTTTTCTGAAGGCGACTCCGTATGCAGTGTGAAGTGCGAGGAGCGAATGATCAATAAGTTGGGGGTTGAAACATCGATCTGTATCGAGTATTTGGACGACAGGATATATTAGCCCGTTTAGTGGGAGTAGCACCGATGAGAGCATCGTTTAGAACCAGTTCGTGATCAAGGAAAGGAGTAGAAATAAATGACGGATAAATTTCGAGACTGCCAACGAAAGCAAAAGCGTATGCAACATAGTGGAATCTATAATCAGACAAGGCATCACAGATCCCTGCGAGGGTAGTCAGACATATCCAAAGCATGACGGGTGCAGCCGTACTCACCTCTAAATTAGTCTATGGTTGCCGCTCGCGTCTCTACCGTGTTTTCTTTCCTTCAGGTCCGACTGTCCCTTGACTAATGTCCGTAATAACCAGTTGAGGAGCGCCTGTCATAATGGCAACTTCGTCGGTGTTCCAGCCCGCAGCTCGTAGTTTGGACAAGAAGTCTGAAAACTTTGAAGAAATCGTTCTATGAGCAGTCCGAATTATTTCCAGAGGATCCGTTATATTATCAGCCCGAAGGCCGCGATCGCAGCACACTTCCACCGCATGAACCCATGCCCGAAGTTGATCTGTACTGGTATACCCTTCCTTGAGGAAGATGTGTAAACGTCTCAAGCCAGAGAAGGACATAGATCTAGCAGGATCTTGTCCATCATGATGAATCAGATATCTGGGGTCAAACCAGAGAATGTACCGTTCCTGGTCGAAGAGGTCCAGAAGCTCAGTGGGGAGAGGAGAGCGAAGAATGTCCGAAAAACTCGAGCCAATAGTACAGTGGCCCTGAACGTGAAGTGTGTCAACGTCGCGGATGATTCCGGAGCCCTCGAAGATACGCTCGCTGGCAGCTGCCGAAGATGGAGTAGGTACTTGGAGGGTAGGAGAGCTGCGGTAGGTGTTCCAGACGATGGAGAGGCGTTGGCGGTTGAGCGAACGTAGGACAAGACCCCGGACGCCGAAATAGTTGGTGGTAAGATGGAGCCCAACGAGGATGACAAGGGCGGTGTAGGTGGCTGAGGGTGTTGTAACGTAAGGGACAATCAAGATCCCCAGCTACGAATAGAACATGCTCAGAGTAATAATAAACACAACGGGAGATAGAACTCACGAGCATGCCGAAGAGGGCCAGGACAGTTTCCTTGCTGGCGTCCTTCGCGTTCAGATCCCCGACATCCCCCTTCCCTACCAGAGGAGTCGAAAAATGGATTGTAATAGCAGCCTTCGAGCCTCCAGCACAAATTCCACATAATGACTTGAAGGCAGCGCTCAAGCAGAGCGAGAATATCCGCAGGCCAGGAATAGGTAGGGTGTTGAACCAGGGAGATAGCGTGTCTAAGATGACAGCTGTGTCGTTGAGAATGTCGGCGAGTAGACGGTATGTCTTCGCTTCGGGGTAGAGAGAAGACCCAAATATATGCGCGGAAAAGATGGCTGAGAAGGTGCTTGAGAGAAGTTGGAAAGCCGGAGATGAATAGACTTACTGGTTAGGCGACTGCATACATCTTGGAGAATGGTTAGAAGCAAGGCTCCGGTAGGCGTCGCTGTGGGGTCTCCGACTCCGAAGCCTGGAATATGTCGTCAGGAACGGGAGTCACATAGCATTAAGAGGGTTTTACCTTGCAGAATCGCTCTGGAGGATAGCAAGCTGGCCAACGAGTTGCAGAATGCTTGCAACGCGTTCAGTATTTGATAGCTGGGTCGACCGTCAATTGGTCGGCCGTGTTCATCGCGCAGAAACAAACCGAAGGTAATCTGATGGGTCATTGGCTTCCTTCGCTTCAAAATGGATTCGCGGTGTTCTACTCACCTGGAGAGACGCTCTGCGGGTAACCAGCCGGTAGGAACATCCTCGTCAAGAGGTCGACAATATATCGCCTGCTCGATTCACGCTTGTTTCTTGAGGAATCTCCTCTACAAGAGATCTGTGACCCAGGGTTTGCGTCAGTTGCTCCTGGACGACAGCCACTACCACGTACCTGCACCTTCCCATCGTGAAACTGCGTCTCAATGACACGACCAAGTTCATCGCGTCCCAGAATGACGGCCATCGCGAATTGTGAGTACAACACGACACTTCCGAGGCAGCCGTCGCTCCTGTCGTAGGCGTTGACGTTGAACGTTCAACATTCGACCGTGCGATGGGCAAGGCCTCATACGGTTACCTCCGGGCCGTACATAGCCACTGCGGCCAGTCTCCGTTACTGTCTCTCACGTACTGTAACGACAGCAGATGCGGTCGAGGGACGATACAGGTGTGTATCCTTTCCGTCAACTTTCTTGAATCGGAATGAACCTAATAAATACGAGTTCAACCTGTAATCCCTTGTCTTCCCCAGATACTCCCCTCCACCCGGCTTCCATGACGGAATCGATAATCTTCTCTGCCCTTCTATAGGGCCTATGAGTTGGTGTTTTCCCGCTTTACGGTGGTTGTGTGCAGAAAATTTGGGATTTAGAAACAACGCCGCACGGGACCGCCGCACTTTCCGATACCCAAATGCCTAGTTCTGAGATCCTTCTATCAGTGAGTTTTTCTAAACTATCCTTATCTGAACTAGACTGGCTTCGGTACCGGACTATATAGTCGCTCTGCGATGTTCTCGTTGCTTCCGGATCCTGATAAATGCCCTCTCAGCTCTCCAATGACTCGAATTGTGACGACATACCATTACTCATCCCCTGCCGTAGAACTCGGCATGGACGCGTTAGCTACACCCACGGCTGGGAGTCTCGACGAGCAAGGCGAGACACTGTCGCAGGAAAAAGAGGGTGTCCACTATATAAAGGGCAAGGATACCTTAGTGAAACACAGTGAGACTCCCACCTCAACTCTGAAAGCGCACGAGATTCATTATGCCATTCCCTACTCGCAAGCTGGCAAACGAAGATGTGACGGCCATTGGCTTTGGGCTCATGGGCCTCTCAGCCTATTATGGTCCGATTGAGAACGACGAGGAACGCTTCAAGGTGAGCCTGCTCGACGGCAGGATCGTGTGAGTCGTTGACGGTGGCTTTAGGTTCTCGACTCCGCATTTGAGCAAGGGTGCACTTTCTGGGACTCGGCAGACCTGTACGGCGACAGCGAGGAGTTGGTCGGGAAATGGTGCGTAGAACCAGAGTGGTGAGAAGGTGGACAGGATGACTGATGTCGACCTTCTACAGGTTCAAGCGCACTGGCAAGCGAGACCAGATCTTCATTGCCACTAAGTTCGGGTTCACATCGAATGGAATAAACGGCAAGCCCGAATATGTGAAGGCTGCATGCGAGAAGTCTCTCAATAGACTAGGAATCGAGACGATCGACTTGTACTACTTGCACGTGCGTTGGCTTTGATAACGTTCTTTAACTGATTTGTGCTGACCAGGCCGAGCAGCGAGCTGATCAGACGGTTCCTATCGAGAAGACTGTTGGAGCGATGGCTGAGCTCGTCAAGTAAGTATACGCCCTCGATATCTATGTGTCCTATCGATAGGTGCTCTAGGGAAGGCAAGGTCCGACACATTGGTCTCTCTGAAGTCAGCGCCACCACCCTCCGTCGGGCACATGCCGTACACCCCATCGCAGCCTTGCAAGTGGAATACTCGCCATTCTTCCTCGATATCGAAGACGAGAAGATCGCTCTCCTCAAAACATGCCGTGAGCTTGGTGTGAAGATCGTCGCGTACTCACCTCTTGGAAGAGGAATGTTGACGGGCACTTACGTGAGTCTTCCGTCCGCTCGAGGCGCTCACTCCCCGTCCTGACCAATTGTGACAGAAATCATTTGCCGATATCCCTGATGACGATTGGAGGAAGACCATCCCTAGGTAAGCTGCCGTTCTCAAGCATCGCATGTCGATGCAGACTCACGTATTTCTCAATGGCCCATCTCAGGTTCAACGAAAACAATTTTCCGAACATCCTGAAGCTTGTAGAGGGCCTGCAGAATCTCGGCAAGAAGCACAATGCGACCGCTGGCCAAGTTACACTCGCGTGGCTGCTCGCGCAAGGAGACGACGTCATCCCTATCCCGGGTACAAAGAAGAACAAGGTGCGTCAGTGTGGTACTGAACGTACGAATGGTTACTAAAGTCTTGACAGTACCTGAAGGAGAACTTGGATGCAGTGAAGATCAAGCTCAGCCCCGAGGAGGTCGCGGAAGTCAGGAGGATCGCAAACGAGGCGGACGCGACAGTGGGCGACAGGTATCCGCCCGACTCGATGAGCGTCCTCTTCGCGGACACTCCGGAATTGTGACGCTTGAAGGAAGTGGATGGCAGGAGATCTAGCGGATCGGTTTAGGGATCTGTAGCGTAAATCAAACAATCAATTACATACTCTGCTCGTTGGTGAGGATATGTGTGTCAAAACATCGTCCTCGAGAAGCAATCATGTTTGTGTTTGCCGTTCAGCCATCTCATTGTTCTTGCACCTAATACACCTCCCCTACCACCTACATGTCCACGTGCACAATCTTGATCGTCTTCATTGCTTTTTTGGTGCATTATTATCTTTGTCCAACAGATTAGACCCACGCCAGTCATGAACTCTAGTTTCAATCTTCGAAATCCGAACTTGAATTTTGCTTGATACCGCTTGCGTGTTCGACTTTTAAACTTGATCTAGGTGAAAAAACCACTGTTTCAGTGGTTAGAGATCGTCTTCCTTTGATCATTTGGGTGGCGCATTGTCCTGATGTGGTCTGATCTCCGGGATCCATGTTGAAACCCTTGAGCAAAGGGCAATGATAGAGACCCGGAGAATAAACGTGCATATTCACTACAGGATATTTATACACGAAAGATTGGCAAAAAATAGTACAGCTAAGAGTCCAGCAGCATAAAGACAATAAATAAGGTAGTGATGTGTGATTGAACGCAGAGTGGTGGACATGTTTGGGACAGGGGTTTAGACAGCGGATTTAGGACCGGAATACCTTGGTGTAGACAGCACCGAGAACCAGACATGCCAGCGCTGTAGCAGCTGCCGTCGACTTCTTGACGGTGACGGTGTCAGTGGACTGAGTGAAGACTTCACTCTCGTCCTTGATGTAGTGGCGCGCGAAGAGGTCGTTTTGTATCCACAGGAGCTACAGCAGTCCAAGAGTCAGATTATTTTTTGAGGCAAAGGAGAAAGACAAACCTTGTTCGCTGCGCGAGCTACGGCGTTCTTGGTGGGGATGTCGAGGGTGGGATGGGTAATCACGGTGTTGACGAGGATATCCTCGACGTATCCCATCAGGATACCGCAGTGGATATATTCTACCCTTAGCGCGGGTTTGCTGATACTAAGAAGGTGTAAGTAGCATGTAAGATTGTTACGGGCGCAGGACTTACCGGTGCTTGAACCCAGCAGCGCCAGTGTGCATCAGGCCGACCTTGTCGAGGTACTCCCAGGTCTCCGGCTTCGAGTAATCCATCGTGACGAGCTTGACGAGGTACCTGCCCAGAAAGTCCTTCCTGAACTTGATCTGCGGGTGCTCCGGGTTCAGGTCTTCAAGCTTCGTTGGGGCTTCGCCGGTGTAGCCTGTCTGGCGAGGTACGAACGACTTGGCGGTGATGTCGAACGACAGGAGCTTCACGTAGACAGCATCGACGATGGCAGGTACCAGAGGCGCGACAACGTCCTTCGCCGCATGCAAGGCTGCGGCGTCGTCTTCCGTGAAGTCGATGAACTTGCGCAGATACTCTACGCGCTTCTGGAGGTCGTCAAGTGAGGCGGGGTCGACGTGGTGCATGTTGAGCAGTCTGAAAGTATGTTATGCGATGTGTGGGGATTGTTCCGTATGATTGTGGGGAATAGAAGCAAGCCATGAGAAGTACTTATAGTACGGAATGATAGAGATGCTGAAAATCCCTTCGGCGACCTTCTGACATTGTCCACGCCCGCGATTTGCTCGGGACCTCCATCCAGCCATAGCTGCTTCAGGCTCTCGGCCCTTTTCATCTAATCTAATCGCGTAGCACAGCCATCCAGACCAGGTCCAGACCCCTTTCGCATGTCATGACACAAGGGTTGGAACACCGCCAGACTCGCTAGACGCGCCAGATTGGAGGAAATAGGAACAAGAGTCGCCACAGACGCAGAAACGGGTCAATACGGGAGAAACACCTCGCCGAAGAGTGTAAGTCATCTTCAGAAATCCAGGATCCGGCCGTTGATTGAAGGAAGGTATCGCTAGTGAAGCGGCAGCAATTATCTAGCAGTTCCGGCACAGAAAGCAAGGACCGAATCTGGTGCAAACAAATGTGAGAAGTGCTCACCAGATATCTGAAAGACGAACATACAATAACATTATTAGTGCTGGAAGACGGCGTTAAAGTTCCTCCAATGGTCAACGCCGTAATTTTCTGCATGATCCATCCTGCCGAGTCTCAAGGAGGCCCGCTCCTTCCAACCGTTACAAATCCGGAGTGTCTGCGAAGAGACTGCTCATCACGGCAGGCGGGTACCGGCCGCCCACGGTGGGATCCGCTTCGTTGGTGATCCTCCTGGCCTCGGCGACATCCTCTGGGTTGACCATGGTTTTCACAGCGTCCAAATTCTCCTTCAAATGCAATCGAAATATTAGAGCCGATTCGTACATCCAAGATGGTAGGTCAACGCACCTTTATCTTCTTCTTACCACGGAACAGATATAATGTCGTCTCCTTTAGCGAGCAATTCGCGAGGAGCTACGCAAGCGCAAGGTGTAACTTGCCCTGGTCGCGTTGTGCTTGTTGCCGAAGTTCTGGAAGCCATCGACGAGTTTGAGAATGTTCGGGAAAGTGTTGCCATTAAGCCTGAGGTGGAAGAAAATGTGAGGAACGAAAGAATGTCCAATATTTGAGAATAGCGGCATACCGAGACAGTCTTTCTCCGATCGTCGTCAGGAATGCCAGCAAACGATGCTGTGATAGTTGGTCAGAACAGAGATTGAGCTACTTGAGCAGACAAATGCCTTACACAAGTACCAGCCAGCGTCTTTCTTCCCAAAGGGAATACGCCACGATCTCGACACCAAGCTCACGACATGTTTTGAGGAGGGCGATCTTCTTGTCTTCAATGTCCAGGAGAGAGCGTTCTGCTTGCAGGGCAGTGCTGGTATGTACGGTGTGTGCACGACGGAGGGTGGTTTTCCATAAGAGAGACCGATATGCTAAAGTGTCGGACCTTGCCCTCCCTGCTGAGCAACCTTTTAATTTTAAGTAGCGGCATTCAGAAAGATATCTAGGCCAAACTTACAGGACGAACTCAGCCACCGCTCCAATACTTAGTCTTCTCGATAGGAACCGTCTGATCAGCACGCTACATGGTAGCAGTAATCAGCTTTGGTTTAGGAGAGGGCATCGGGAACTTACATGCAGATAGTACAGGTCAATCGTCTCAATTCCAAGCCTCCTGACTCTCGAGAGATTTCTTGCACGCAGCTTTCACGCATTCAGGCTTGCCATTTGGTCCAATTGCTGTGATGACGAGGTTGGTAACGAAGAAATTTAGAAAACCTGGTCTCAACTTCAGGACCACTTGAACCTACGAAAGACAGGCGTCAGTGCTACTGCTCGCCCGCACCATTTACCAAACAACTCTTTGCTGTTGGCGTAGATAACTGCTGAAACATCGAGAACCTAGAGTCTGCGTGAACGACAATGTAACAACAAATCGAAGTGAACCTCCCCTTACTTTGAGACGCTCCTCATCGTTCTCAACCGGGCATATCGCATCGAAGTCGGAAGGTCTCATACATCCAAGAACAATCGCCGGCACATCTTCGCTTGCTAGCTTGCGGCTAGGGCACGACATCGTCGTTCTCTTGTGTGGTAAACATCGAGACATGATCAACGCGTCCACCCCGACTCCGCGGTTGGCCGGTGTCTTCTGCGTCACGAACCCTAGGATCATATGAAGCAGAAAATTGGCCGTACTCAAGCGGAGAACCCATCGGAGCAGTCAAAAAGTAGACCGAAAGGACCCTGGCCTGTCTTCGAAGCGGTCATAGGGCATAGATGAGTAAGAAAGAGAAGCGTGAAATCTGGAAGAACTCGTCGTCAGAAGGAGTCTCGAGTCGTGAAACGAGAAATCGTGCTATGTCACGGTCAGGTGATACAGTCACTTGCATAATTGTGTTTCAGGTCGTGTGATGGAAGAAGTTTGTTGATGGCGCACGAATAAGGAAATTCGTTGATCCGGGATCCCGGCTTGCCTCCACTCGACACCCATACATTCTTTCCAAGGACCCGTGGATGGCATTATTTGTTGTCCTTTGCACAGTGGCTCAGTAACGGCGTATAGAGGCAAGAAAATCCCCCACGAGGGAGCACAGAGACTTCAGGCCTCGGCCGATTTTGCGCTGGATCATGGTACAAACACATACAAAGTAAGAATTCTCGCGCGTGCGACCTGAACACGATTATGCAAATGACTGTAAGTAGTGACATGGACGCGTCAACTTCCGACGGGCCTACATAGTCCGATACGCTTCTCCGTCTGCCCTCGCTGGTCGAAGCAAAAGCAACGCACACGCATATTGCCTCCTACGTCCATGGCAGCCGAGCTTGATCGTGCGGCCAAGCGGCGCCCAGACCTCCAAGCAATGCTCGGCAATTCGACAGAATATCAGGTGTGGTTAATTATTTATGACATGTTTGCCGCAGCCCTACTTAGATGCATTGAACCGACAGCGAATGGCATACTTCAAGTTTCAGTACTCAGTTCTCAGATCTCAGTCCTCGGCTTCGTCGTCACCGTCGTTTGCATCATCATCGTCATATCCACCAAAATCCTGCTCGGAGAGCCCGCTTGTGTCCGCGGCCTGTGGCTGGTCATCACTACCAAAGAAGTTTCCGTTATTGTCATCATCGTCCTCGCTGTCGTCGCTGTCGTCGTCGCCACCGCCAAGCCTGCGCTTCCTGTTCCTGCGGTCCGTGCTCCAGGTGTCAGAGTCTCGGGGATCTAAAGGGATGTCCTCGTCTATTCCAGGGCCTTGAACGCCGTCGGGGTCTTCTTGATCGTCGGGGTCAAGGTCGGTAGAGCCGCCTACTTTCTGCCTCTTTGGAGGATTGTCCTCTGTCGTGGGTGATTCGGAGGACTTGGAGCGCGGTCGACGGTTCGTCGTGGCCGCAGTCTACATTCAAAGAGGTCAGCTCTACTTGTATTGCTCAGTCGATGGACTGCTCACCTGAGGCTGGCGTGCAGGGAATGACCTGTATTGGATAAAATGGTGGATCAAATAGAACGCTTGGTTTGAAGCGCCCGTTCCAAGTCGCAAGTAGCGTGACCACAGCAGGTGTGGAACGGCGTCAGCAACGTCGTCATGGATAGGCTGCGTGATCGAGACCAACGTGGCCTTAGGCACCAGTCGGGCTCTCGTCTTGCGCTCTTTCAAAGCTCTGGGTTGTCTCAAAGCTGCAGTGCGACTTGGAGAAGGAGCACGAAATGGCACCAGGTTGTCAGGGTCCACGTTTACTTCTTCGTCACTAGGCTCCTTATAGTGGCCTATTGGTTGACTTGCCCCGGCTCGAGGTGACCTCGGAACCCTTGATGCTCCTTTCACAGACTGACTTGGCCGGTAGGTTAGGTCTGGTTCACTCTGTGGAATTTTGAAGTTCGAGAACTTCCGACGGCTCTCCGCTGCTGCTGCCTCCTTCTCTGCTGCTGCTGCCTCCCTCTCCGCTCGACTAGAACTCTCCTCATTCGCCGTTGCGATCTCCAATAACAAGGCGGCATTCTCCCTCTTGACGACAACCCAACTCCACCATTCCCCAATGCACGCTAGAGCCAAAACGGTTTCCAACACTGACTCGTCTGCCTGTGCTTTGAAAGCGCGTTCAACTTGCTGCACTGCTTGTTTTTGCGCGGATGCCATGTGAGCAAGGAGTTGCCGGTTGAAGCGATCTCTGTCTTTGGGGTGACGAGTTATGGCTGGTTTGACCTCTGCGACCAAATCCACTCTGGAGCGACCAATTCTGACCGTATCCCATTCAGCGAGGTTTTTCGGAAGATCCTCAATCGTCAATGGTTCCTTCGGGTGGGTTCCACGGAGAAAGAACTCGAGGACAGAGAGAAGGACGAAGTCTGGTGCAAGTTCATCGGATTTTTGATCGGGAAGGGTCTCCAAAGATGTATCGCCGACATTATGCTGGCTCGCATCCGGGGACTGAGGTGCGGAGGATCCTTGGATGGTGGGCTGTTGCTGCGGTTGCAGCTGCGGCGCCATTCGGGCCTGGCGCGAGGAGGTTGCGTTACCCCTGGTATTGGACGCCTGTCGTCCACTGCGCATGTTTTCCCTTCTCTTATTCTCTAAAGCTGCTTGACGATCTTTTGCCTCTTTTTTCTCTTGAATTCTCTGCAGGATGGCATTTCGGTGAAAAGGGTAAATGCTCTGTTGAGGTATCACGAATATCTGTGGACCAATGTCGTAAATGAGGTCGTTCAGAACCATGTCCCAAGGCCCATAAAGATAGCATTCCAGATTTCGTGGGTTGTTGGTAAGGCTGTAGGAATGCGCCATTGTAATTATCAAACGCTGAAGGCGATCAGCCCGAGCTTTGAGTCCTGGCAGGGTGAAATCAGAGAAATTGGACTGAAGCTCTGGAGTGTCGAGAGATGCCATCGGTGGATAAGGAGAGAACTCTGCGGCTCTATGAGGGCGGGATAGGAACATCCTTATATATACAGTTCCACACCATGCCACGATAGGCACAATACATATGCGTCCGACGATCGGGAGAACAATAGGGATCAAGTCCTTTGTTCTCCGGGCTCAATAATAATCGCTCCTACTGAATCCAGGCTGCGGTACTTTGCTTTTTTGACGGTGTTGTCAGCTCTTTGTGGCTTGTGGCACCACCACTAAGCAATAGGAACTTTGAAGGTACAAATTTCATTGTTCGCCTGAACGTCAGCCGCCACTGAGAGTCTGAGCCCGGCCTCAGACCGTATCACGTGGTCTCATTCATTGCGTGGGAACCATGGCCACATAAATAGGACTCCAGCGCGACATGTTGAACTTCCCAACCCTCCTTGTGTCCACACCATCTTGTCCCTATGTACAAGTAAGTTTATCCCTCAGAACATCCGCTCTGTCACTCAACTTCCGAAGCTCCATCTCAGTTATGCCCTTGCCACCTCACAATGGCCCTCGTAAAACCTTGGCCGACTTCCCAAAACCACCCTTATACACCCGGAAAGACCATCTGGGACGAAAGATCGAGCTTGTAATGTTCGGCTTCCCCATCAACCAAAAATTCATCCTTGACTTCGTGAATCGATACAATCTCTTCCCGGACGCCGACGAGATGGATCGCATTTCCAACGGTCTGGTCCATCTTGGAGTTGCCGTTGAGGGACAATTGAACGCGTGCTTCATTATTCTTAAAGATGATGGAAAGTACAACAGTGAATCCCTCGATTTTGCTGTGGTCATCGCGTCCAATCGAACTCAGGCCCATCTCGATCGAATGAACACTTACCCTCACTTCGAGCGCCTGGCACGATTTCTTGGTCTCCCACCCGACGCCGCCACTTGGGTTTTCCCGGAAGAAAGTGAGTATCATCCCCATTTTAGCTGTATTTAAAGCTCACATTAACTACTTTAGGATCATCACGGGCAGCACGAGCACTGAAGGAGGAAAGGAATAAAATCATTTGATCATGTTCTTACGACGTCTACGTATTCGTTGCGCTTTCTTCCTCCATCGCATTGTCATTGTCTTCTCAACCAATAAATTATCTTTGTAATGACATCGCGCGACAAAGAACCAAACGCTTATGCGCGGAGCATCTCTGCGTTGTGGACTCGAGGAGAAGGGTGAAGGGTGGCTGAGCTTGGGCCTGGAAAAGCCAGCCTTGTAATTGATGACGTCACGCGTCGCCCGAGTGTTTGACCTCCATCCTATTTGCCTTCTTCCTTGCCAGGTCCTTAGGCGGCTGGTATTAGCGGGTCTTCTTCCTATCGCGAAGGCTGATCGAAGAAGATCATCAGACACTCCCTTACATGTCACACGAAGGGGCAAGAAACCAAGATTTCACGGTCTGCAGGTGTTACTTGACAATACAAGAGAAGGTGCGACTACGGGGTTTATTTTCTGACTATACTTACGATAGCGTCGGCACGGCCCAGTCGATCCAGTCTGCGTCGTTGAAGCCGAGTTGGTTGGCGCCATCGGTCCTGAGGATGTTGGTGTTGGCGGACTGGCCCCTTAAGAACTTGTTAACGAAAGCGTTGAGGTCATTCTGCTGACTCGAAGGGAATTGGCAGTGGTTGTGACCGCCGACCTGTGAGACACCCATGTTGTCGGCGACGCCGAGGGCCTGCCAAATCTTGTTGGCCGTCTTCATGCAGCCCCAGTTGGATTGCGGGCCAAGCCAGTCGATTCCGGTGTTCTCGATGATGAGCAGGCCGCGAGGCGCGATCAAGCCCGCGTAAGTGTGGTGGTCGAAGGGGAGGTCGTTGATCCTATTGACGTAGGGGTCGAAGTTCCTCGAGAACCACACGTTCTCGGTGATGATCTGCGACGCGGTCTGTGTGTTAATCCCGTTCGACCTCATCCTGTCCGAGATGCGCCAGCATCCCGCACCACCCGAGCCGGATTCCTGCGGGATGGTGAGCGCAATACGCGGCTCGAACGCGCCAACCGCGAGCGCGCCCTTGCCGTTCCTGGAGCACCCGGTGACGGCGAGTTTGCTCGTGTCGATGTTCGCGTTCGCGGTCGTCTCGAGCGCGTCGATGAGTCGGCCCACACCCCATGCCCACGCGACGAGCGCGGACGCCGAGTGGGTGTTGCCGTAGAGCGTGTAGAATTTGCCCTGCCCACGGCTGCCGGTGCTGGCCTGTGCGGCAATGTCGTCGTTCGGGAAGTTAATGACGGCGACGCCCGAGGGTGTGGGGATGCTCGAGCCACCGATGGCGATCAGTGCCGGGAACGGGCCTGTACCCGAAGGGTAGGAGATGGAGGCAGAGAAGGAGATGGACCGACCGCCCTCGGAGACGTTGACGGTGATGCTGTTGCCTGAGCGGGTACCGGTGACGCTCTGCGGCTTGGGAGGCAAGGTGCCGGACTCGTAGCGTTGGACCAGTTGGTTGATCTCCTCGCGACGGCACTCCCACTGAGCCTTCGTTGTCACCTTGCTCCCATCGACGAATGTGAAGGGATCGGGCAACCGGGAGTTCGCCCTCAAGGTGATGGTGCCGGGAAGGGCTGTGCAATCTTCCGGAGCAGTGGGAGGGGTGGTGCCTGCGGTCGTGGTAACAGGAGGTGCGGCCGTGGTTGTGACGGGTGGGGGCGGGGGTGGCGCCGCTGTCGTTGTGACTGGAGGCGGCGGGGGCGGAGCAGCGGTTGTAGGTGCTGAGCCAGGCTGGCACTGGAAGTACCAGTCGTTGAGTTTAACGCAGGTGGTGCCGGAGACGCACGATGTAGGGCCAGTCCATCCGTTTCCACCGCCTAAGTAAATTGTTAATGAACATCGTTGTGAGATCACCATTGGAATACCTACATTGGCCCCAAACCTGCTGTTGTTGTGCAAGTGCCGGGAGAGCGACTGCAAGAGCGACGAGGGAGTATTTGAGCATTGTTCCTGGCAGATACGAGATGGTGTTGTACCCACTCGTAACAACGAAAAATCGCTCGGTCTTTTATACAGGCTGCGGAGAAACAGAGGAACGAAATCCCCGATTACTTTGAGGACGTCCGCGAAGCAGTGGGTCCATTGAAGAAGGGCGAAAGTAAGTTGGTGTTCGGCGACGAAGGCTGTCGTCGATGCGGGTGTTTTCCCGACGTTACAGTCGTCGTGGGTCATGAGTTGTTTATTCCGGCGTCGTCAGTTGAAATAAGGACTCAGAGTCCTTCCAAGCCAAAGACTGGACATTACAAACTTCTTTCGTTACGAGAGAGCAGCGCCAAGGAAATCCAACACAACCGAAGTCGACGCGAGGGTTCTAACCGAGCACGTTTCCGGGCTTGGAGAATAGAGTCGACTAGACTATGATTTCATAGAGAATGTAGTTGATCCGAGATGAATACGCCCTTCAGAGACTTTCGAGAAAAACGCCGGAACGAGACCAAAGCTCACCAAAAGCAAGGCAAAACGTTTGTTTGGAAATCCAGTGGGGGGGCGGAATGAAGATGGATCTTGGTTATCGTCGTTGCTGAATCGTCTTGTATGTTGATAGTTTTTGCTGTCCTCCAAAGAGCCTGATATGAACTGCTTTTCTGAGATAATTAAAATCGAGGCAGAGGCATTTGTCAAAGCCTGGGGTAAGCGGCGCTGTCTTGTTCAATTTTGAAGCGTATATCACCGACCAGTTCCTGGAAAGCCCCCACATCAAGAAGGCCCGTGCATTGAGCCTCCGAGTTCATGATCAGGTGCTTCCTTCGACGGTTTTCCTGAGATACTCACAGAGCGGATATTGACTGCTAAGTGCGATTGACGCCCAGAGAACATAGACTCGCCCACGTAGCACCCGCTGGTGTCCTGCCTTGAAATTTCCTGTCAATGCATGGCTTCCTCGAGGGCGGTGAACGCCCGAGACAGCAGCCGCGTTTGGCTCGACGTCGATGCACCGTTCAGGAGACGAAGGACTTGGCATTGGCATTTCTCCGAAACTCTCGTTCGGCAGTAGCTGGTGGAGTTGGTTGGGAGCAAGATGGGAATGTCAGAGAATGGCTTGGCGCTTCTTTGAGAAGCACCGGACCGCGAGCAGCCGTCCAGCGGCCCGTCAACGATTCGAACTGGTGAACTTCGCCAAAATGTCGCTCTGGGCATCCGCAGACGAGATTTGAACAAAGACTGGATTTTTACCTTGAATACTAGCTGCAATGTCTAGAGAAAGGGCCAACAATTTCTATGATTTATTGTGCTCTCGTTTTGCTCTCGTTCCATCAATCATCGAGGAATCATGACTAAATATTCGAACTGTCCTGAAATAATTCTGCCAGGATATGTGCTTCCTGGCCCTCGGGTGGGGGTGTCCAATCAGGCTTTGACTTGGAATGGGCTTTATTCGATCCCACCATGAGTGAAAAACAATTGCCTACCGTAGGTTCACAACAGAACGCATAACCTCCTATTCTCATTTTCACTTCGATTAGGTTCCCGGATGCGGGCGACAACTCGCTCTCGAGCTTGCCCCTGCACATCTAGCCGCTGCCTTTGAGGAGTACCCGGCTGGAACCCCTGCAGCCGCAGCGGGCTACACACCTGCTCACTTTCAGGGCAATGACATGTTTGGCTATCGTCACCTCGATATGTTGACGCTTATTGCTTTCTGAAACCAGGATTTCAGAATCGTAGCAGCCGATGATGAAGAGGATAGAGCGACCAAGTTATTTGAGGCGTTTGCCCTTCGCAGATAGAAATCCTGCCTTTCTTGTAATAATCGCCCTCCATTCTCGTGGAAGGAAAAGATACCAATTAGTCTGGAGCGGATTGAAAATACGGTGTCGTTTCTGATTTTGCGAGTGACGGCGGCTGCGATTTTGAGCTTTGGAAGTTCTCTACGCGGAAATTTCTATGTGGACAACTGAAGGATGGGAAGCGTGTGGTGGCATTCCTGCATTTACTGCGATGACAAGCAGGACATTTTCTGATCGGCGGCGTTAAATTCGACCAAGCCACGAAAAGTGAAAGAGTGATGGGCGCTTACTGCTGTTGGCAAAACTTACCATCTAAGGATATTTGTCGGGCCCGGGTTCCACTCGGACCACTCCTCCTAGACCCAGAATGCGGATGGATTTGTACAGAAGATGGCTTCTGCGTCGTTGATCATTGGAATCCAAACGCTAGTTACACACCGAACGTCCAAATGTCCAGTAACGATTAATGACCACAGAACAGTCGGTGGGGTGGAGGATGTTAGCCGGACAACTCGCGGAAACGCTAAGCCGCGGTTCATATATTGGACACATCTCGATAGCCAGTTCCCTTCGTATTTCGTGATCATTATCGGTACGGGAGTCTGACGGGACTTCGTGAGGGAATTCAAAGGAAAGCATGAACTGGCTATATGCACGAAATTTCGAGACTAACTACTTAGTATACGTTGACCTCTTGCAGAGGTAAATAAGTGCTACGACTTTATTAAGTTAAAATTTGAATTTGAAGCTTGAGAAGGAAGGAAGAATTGATCACCGGCGAGGTCCCAATGAGGAATAACCGACATAAGTGTAGCGGGCTTCCCGGTCATCAGATTCAAATCGGGGATTTTTACTACAATGCCCAGATAATGCCTGACAACGTTGTCGAACCTCTCAACGTCCACCTTGTTACCAGTCGCCCTACTCTATAAATCGTCCCAGCATGCTTTTTGGCCGCAAAGATGCACAGAAGTCGAAGGAGCTCACAGACATGACGGGCAAAGTGGTCTTTGTCACTGGTGCAAAGTAAGTTTCCCATTCTGCGGTACGATGATACACAGATACTTATAGGATTTTCACAGTCGGGGAATAGGATACATGACCGTCAAGCAGCTTGCACTTCAAGGAGCCACGGTATACCTAGGCTGCCGAAATGAGACCAGGGGATTAGAGGCCGTAGCCAACCTCGAACGTGAGGTCGCCGAGGCATATAGCACGACATCGTCGCCTCAACCCGCCCCCGGAAAAATTGTCTATCATCACTGTGATTTGAGTAGGCCTGCGCTTGCTAAGGATTGTGGAGATAAGTTCTTGGAGAGAGAATCAAGACTGGACGTACTCGGTATGTTGATATTTCTCGTACTAGAATATCATTGTTATGTAACGTCAAACGCTCATACCCATGTACGTTTCCAGTCAACAATGCGGCAGCGTAAGTCGAGCGTGCTTACAACTATCAATACTGCTCACCCAATGCTCATCGGCAACCCCCTCCTCAAGTCTTCCAGACCCAAGTTTCACTCCGCATGGTCAGTATTTCTCGTTCAAGCGTGCTTCTTCTGACATCTTCGACAGATGTGGTGACGATCAAGTAGGCAAATCGTTGCTTTTTCAGGACATTGACCGACCAAAAATAGTCACTTCGGCACCTATCAGCTCACCGAAGCACTTCTTCCACTTCTCACGAAGACTTCACAGACAAATATAGATGTCAGGATCGTCATGGTATGGCTTTCTCGCAATGACCTCCCCTTGTAGCTCATCTTAGTTGTTGAATTTACAGGTTTCGACCAACGGTCATCGCATGGGACGTGCCAGCAACCACAATATACGATTCAGAACGAGAGAAGACTATTTTACAGACTACCACAAGGACTTGATTCCATTGTGGCAAGCATACTGTGCGGTCTCTTCCGCCTTCGGGGGATCTGTGTTTTGCTGATTCGATTTGCCTTACAGGTGTGTCCAAACTGGCGTTGTTCTTGGCGACTAAAGCCCTTCAACGGCGACTTTTATCCCCTTCGCCTTCCGGACCCGCTACCCATCCTATCACTTGCATTTCAGTACACCCCGGCGCGGTCAACACCTTCTCCAACAGGGTCCCATATTTACCAGGGTGGCTGGTGACGCCTATCGTGAATCTCTTCTTCATAAGTCCAGAAGCTGCAGCGAAAACCTTGTGCTACGCCGCTGCGTCCCTTGAAGTAGCTGAGGATAAGGAGAAGTTCAGAGGGGCCTACATTCTTCCGGGGTTCAAAATTGAGCCCGACACGGACATTACGAAGAACGAAGCTCTGCAAGATGAGGTTTGGGAGAGTACAGTCGAAATTTTAAAGGCTTGGCCAGAGGCAGAACAGGTGGCTGCATGAAAGGGAAGCTTTAAGAGGGTTGAATTACATCCTTTCATTGATAAAACTGGTGCTTTGTCTCCTCATATCCTTATTCTGCGAGCGCATTCTGATTGGAGCTGGCAATTGGACGCTACGGGCTGATCAGGACACAGGCGCTCACTAATTACTAAACCACAGGCCAACAATGAACGCCCTGTTAGGGTCAACAAACGAGATGTTCATGTACACATATTACAATATGTATTAAGTAGACGCCTCTCCCGACGCTCTTGATGTCTACAGCTCGGGAGTGTCCGCGAACAGCAGACCCATGTGCTCAGGAGGATAGCGGAATCCTTGTGCGGCGTCTGCCTCGTCGGCGATCTTCCTGACCTCCGCAACTTCCTCGGGGGAAAGGTTAATCTTGACTGCGTCCAAGTTCTCTTTAAGGTACTGCGAAGCATCATCCTTGTTAGACTCCTCTCCCTCATAGTAGACCTCAAGTTCTAAACCTGTACTTACCTTGATTTTCCTCGTCCCAGGAATCGGGATGACATCAGGCCCTTGAGCGAGCAGCCACGCGAGGGCGATTTGCCCGGCGGTTGCGTTATGTTTCTTCCCAAGGTTCTGTATACCATCGACGAGCTTGAGGATGTTCGGGAAGTTATCATCGTTGAATCTGTACGGTGTGAATTCGGGATATGAATAAGTACAAGAAAGGGGGATCGACGACCGCATACCTCGGAATACCCTTTCTCCAATCATCAGCGGGTATGTCGGCGTTGGATTTCTGATTTCAATGTTGTATCAGAAACGAGCGATCGAGACAAAGCGATATCGAACGAAGGCGACTCACGTATGTCCCTGTCAATATACCTCTTCCAAGAGGCGAGTAAGCGACAATGGCCACCCCCAGCTCGCGACAAGTCTTCAGGAGAGCAATCTTCTCGTCTTCGATGTCCAAGCAGAAAGGGGAATATTCAACTTGCAAGGCAGCGATTGGGTGGACAGCGTGTGCGCGCCGAAGGGTGGCTGCGCTGACCTCAGAGAGGCCGAGGTGGCGGACTTTTCCTTCCCTGAGAGGGTGTTCAGCATAGAAAAAAAAAGAATATTCTGAGAAAGCTGTTACCTCACAAGCTCGGCCATCGCTCCAACGGTTTTCTGTCAACATGTCAGCCAGTTAGGCATACAAGAGTTGAAGAGAAGCAGACCTCGATTGGGGTCTTCGGGTCCGCTCGCTGTCTCCCTTTTATCAACTGCTCAATAATGGTAGAACAACGAAGCAAGCGTACATGGGCGTAATGGAGATCGATAGTCTCGATCCCCAACCTCTTGAGCGACTTCTCACATGCCGTCCTCACATATTCCGGCGTGCCATTCGCTCCTGTCGGAGTGAAGCCGAACTTGGTAGCGAGGAAGATCTGGTCGCGCTTTCCTGTGCGCTTGAACCTGTATACGAGGCATTATTAGCCTCAACACTGTTTCGAGTGAAGACAGCTGCACCATTTTCCAATCAAGTCTTCGTTGTCGCCGTAGATATCCGCCGAGTCCCAGAAGGTGCAGCCTTCTTCCAATGCAGCATCCAGTACCTGATCTTATTTAGCACCTATGTGCTTCACTATAGGAGAACCCCTCACCTTGAAGCGATCCTCGTCGTCGCCTCCAGGACCGTAAGCCCCAGAAAGGTTCATTAAGCCAAGGCCAATAGCCGAGACGTTCCTGTCCGCGAACTGGCGAGTGGGGTACGGCATTGTATCTTTCCTCCGTACTCGCGGGTGAGTGGGGTACTTATTTCTCTAAGGCCTACGAGCACTGGCCCTTTTATCAGGAAGACTGTCGTGGCTGTAACGCAATTTCCGCTTATTCAGCCTTAGGCATTTAACGCGTTGGGCGGCCGAAGAAGGAAGTGACTATGCTTCGGTTGGTTCGACATGAGAGAAAAAGTACGCGTCATTTGGATGCCGATCCTTGAAGGAAGAACTTCAAGGCCACGCAATTGCTGTGCCGTGGCGAGCCGATCAGGACCAATCTCGGAGATCGGTCTATATCGGGAAGGTGCGCCTCCCATCAGTCAGCGAGGTTGCCGGGACCATTATTAGTCAACTGGAACTGATCGTCAACACAATACCTCTTCCAAAGGCTCTTTAAAGCCTACAATGCAGATGTGTCAGAGAAGAGCGTGATCATGTGCTCAGGAAGATGGTGGAATCACTGTGCCGTGCCTGCCCCATTCGCAACATTCCTGACTTCGACGTTGTCTTCGGGACAAAGCTTGATTTTGATTTTGACGGAGTCAAAGTTCTCCTCTATGCACTGTCGATACATCGGCACCGTATACATGACAAGAGAGGCTAATCATACTTTGATTTTTAGCTCTAGGGAGAGGTATGATGTTGCCTCCTTGACGTTGAAGCTATGAAGATATAGCACGCGCACGAAATTTACGTAAGAGGGAGTCCCTTTATAGAAGTCGACTTCAGGAATATCAGCATGGTTTTTCTATTGTCGATGGTCAGCAAAAGAGCTCAACAGAATCCTCTCGCGGCTTTCAAACTTTTCACGTCGGTGCCAGTAAGCATTCCCCGTCCTAGAGGCGAGCAGGCAACGACTACTGCTCCAATCTCATGACAGGTCTTGGGGAGTGCGATCTTCTCGTCTTCGACGTCCAGAGTAGAAGGGCGAGTACATAACTTGCAGGGCGACGATCGGGTCTACGCCGTGTGCGGCGGAAGCTGCGCGGACTTCGAATAGACAAGTGTGTACTTTGCCTTCTCTAGAGTAATTGTTCACAATTGCTAATCTTTTACTCGTTGAACGCGGGCGGTCTTCTCAACCGGATCTGTCTGATCAGAGCGTTAATCCCTTCGTTAACTTCGATGATCATCCCGCCGACGACCAACATAAACTCACATGGAGGTGGTACACGTCGATAGTCTCGATTCGCAGCCTCTTGAGGGACTTCTCGCCTGCAGACCGCATGTATCCAGATGGGGTGAATCCGATTTTGGTAGCGAGGAAGGCCTGGTTACGCTTCCTGCTTCGTTTGAACCTAGATGAGAGACGCGTTAATCCTAGGAGAGATTTGTGAGTGATATGAAATGCAGGGGCCGTAGATGTCGGTCAGAACGCGCATCCTTGCATCTTTAGCCGCTCCAATTGGGCCTTACCCAACCGAGAGACCATCATACGAATACGGTGGTCGTGACGTTTTCGCTTTCCATTAACAGCTCGCGAGTGGGGTGAGACACGATCAAGTTTCCGGATGTAAGAGGTGGTATTGGGAGGATTATTGTCGTGCTCGAATGGTGTCTGCATGAAAATTTGCTGAGGAGGAGGCACCACACTCACAGCACATTTCCTAGATAAGAAAGGTCTTTGAGTATTGAATAGCCGCCTTGGGAGACCAGGGACAAGACGAAGAATCTGACAACGTAATTGTAAGCATTGCATAGACACAGTCCGATTGGAATGGGACGGAAAAGTCTCTGTGACGTGACTGTGACTTGCTGCGTGACGTGTCACTCTTCTTTTTTTTTTTTTTTTTTTGAAGTCTTCCACGTAGGGTGTATTTTAGACGTACTCCAAATACACAAAAAATAGGGTGTTCGATCACAGTCCCTTGGAGGTAGGCTACACCTAAACAACCCTCCTCATCATCCCATCCCTCGACCCACCGCCTTTGGTTGAAGCCCCATTGGGCGCCGAAGCTTCCAGCTGTTGAGACAGTTGGTGAGAGCTGACCAGTTTCCTTGCGGTTTGCCGAATCTAAACAATCAAGGGCTTCATGGTGTTAGTCCTTCCCAGCATTGGGCGCCGAAGCTTCCAAGCCGTCAGTCGCCTGCATGGTTGGTGTGCCGGGCCAACGCCATTGACGGGGGCAGCACATGTAGGTGCTAAGTACCCCTAACGAGATTGGATGGTTTGGAAGTGAAATGTTGAAATGAGTGACTCTGCCTTCCACTATGCCTTCCGCCCTCTGATACAACCCCACCCGCTTTCCTCCCCCATTTCCCAAACCCTAAGGCACGCATCCTGTAGCATCCCCCTACCATGCAAAGGCGGTCGAATATCTAGTGTTTCTCCCCAAGGGGTGTAGCCGGATCATAGGCAACACGGCTGATGATCGGAGACTAGCCTCCTCCCTCCATGGGTTGCCTTCCATGACTAGGTTGTGCCCCCGAAAGGTCTGCGCGAAGCAGAGCAAGACGGTACACGGGCTGCCTGTCAAGTAGGGCCATCAGTTGCGCTTTGAGGTTGTTGTAAACAAGGTCTTCGGGCCTCCAACAAAGCAATTGGGATACAACCACGCCGAAGTCGCGATCTTCTCCGATAAATAAGAAAAGGTGTTGGTTTAATGAATAGATAAGGAATCAGGCAATGAGTGGGGCCCGATGGAGGACGATGCCGATTAATGAGAGGAGTTCGGTAGTGTAGAGCGCGGCCATGGTGGGGGCGACGAATTCCCACGGCCGGATGGTGATGGTTCAAAATCAAGAAGCGTCGGCGTGTCGCTCTTCCGGCGTCTGGGTGAACATCATTTTTCGACTTAGGCTCACACCACCTTCCCTTCGCTGTCCATCATTCTCCTTGCTTACTACGTCGCCGCCTCCAACCTGCATCTACCGACTCGTCCTTATGCTCGAGCACGGAGATCCTACACCTCGACGCCCCATTTACCTAATGGGATTTGTAAAATAATTTATTGGGTCAAAGTTGACTCATACTGTTCGGCCTGATTCCTTTCATCCTGTATGACGAACCCCTATGGAGAGGCTTCGCAACTTCGGACTTTCAAACTTGCCGGTTCAGACTGGCAACCTCAATGCCATCTAGTCTTCTAGCACGTCCGCTTTCGAAGGCATTTTCTCTTAAGATCTTAATACTCAATGATGTTGCAATGATGATCCGCATGCAGCTGCTTTGTACTTCGCCATCTCTGGCGCAACCCGTAATACCAGCCCCACAAATCGGACCTTCAGCTTGCAATCCTTTGGGAATGTGCATGCCTTCTACGGAGGAACGATAGATGACCTGTAGCTCCGAAGCGACTCCGTGAATCTTGCTGTCAACTCCCTCCATATTTGAACTTGTGGAATCTCAGGACAGGAGACTGCAGTCTTTCCAGATTCAAGCGCCAGCCCTACATGTACATATTGGTCGACACTATAAAGACTCATCGAGGCTGCTCAACGGCTCGATCACTACCATCACACTTCCTCTCGCCATACCACCATCTACAATGAGCTCTGACCTCCAATGGAAGGGATATGCGTTAGTTCTAATCACTGTCTTGTGCTCTAGAGGCTGAGCTGACAGCCTCCCAGCGTCGAGGACACCAAGAACTGGGACCAGTTCAAGGTCATCGACTTCAAGCCCAAGCCTGCTGGCGACTACGACGTCGACATTAAAATCGCCTTTTGTGGCGTGTGTGGCAGCGACGTGAGTAGCCAACCATTGGCACACGTATTCAGGACGGGTTGGTAAATGCTTTAGGTCCACACGATTACTGGCGGGTGGGGCGAACCACACCTGGTACGCCTGTTGCCTTGCTAACTAACCGATTGTCCTGACGCCTTTCAAGCCTTTGATCCCCGGACATGAAATAGCGGGCATGGTAGCCACCGTTGGGCCCAAGGTCACGGCCTTCAAGGTCGGCGACCGTGTTGGTGTCGGGTGGGTCATGGATCTCTCGTGGCTCTTGGAAATGCTCAAGGCGCATACATGCGATGCAGAGCGATGATTTGCTCCTGCATGAAGTGTAAGCTCTGCAAGGAGGACAACGAGCAATAGTGAGTGAATATATGCGTATACATTCAAGCCTGGACTGAATGCTCTTCTATTTTCAGTTGCCCAGAGTCTGTGTGGACCTATAACGCAATCTACCCGGACGTACGTCGCGTCTAATTTTTATTGCCGCTCGTCGACTAACGATGATGCAGTCGAGGACCCTGTCGCAAGGCGGGTATGCGACTGCGATCCGTGCCCACGAGCGTTTCGTCTTCCCGGTTCCCGAGAACATGAAGCTTGAGGACGCCGCTCCGATGTTCTGTGGAGGGTTGACTGTCTTTTCGCCTCTCGTCCGAAACGGCGCTGGGTACGGGCCAGTAACGAGTGACCATATGCATCTACCTGACATTCCTTGTTCAGTCCTGGAAAGCGTGTCGGTATTGTTGGCCTCGGAGGCCTTGGGTGAGCGTCCTCCCCATTGGAATGATGCCTAGACCCTACACCATTTACTGACGCATGATGAGCAGGCATTTCGCGGTTCAGTTCGCTAAGGCTCTGGGTTGCGATGAAGTCGTCTTATTTACTCATTCTGACCACAAGAAGGCATGATACCAGGCGTTCTCTAGCAACACCTTTTTCTGATATCTGAAACTTTCCTAGGACGATGCAAAGAAACTCGGAGCCACCGGATTTGTTCCAACTGGGGAGAAGGACTTTGAACGGCCGCTGCTGGGATCTTTGGATCTCATTGTCGTGAGTGCATTTTTATTATTATGAGCTCTCCGAGGAATAATGAGGAGCCATTCGGCGTCTAGTGCACTGCCGACGTTGCCTCTGGAATTCCTCTGAAGGAGCTCCTCAGCACCCTGGCGATCAACGGGCGCTTCGTAATGGTTGGGCTTCCCGACGAAGAGCTTCCTTCCATGATTGCGAAAGGTTTTTCCTTCTCTATAATTGTTCTTAATACCCTAGCTCATAAATGTCCCCTTAGAGGTGTTCTCTAACGGCTGTTTCTTTGGAGCCAGCAAGATGTACGTCCCGCTATCATTCCCATGATGCCTTTCTAACCGACGGCCAACAGCGGCAGCAAGAAGGAGGTTTTGGAGATGATGAAGCTTGCATCCGAGAAAGGCGTTAAACCCTGGACGGAGCTCTTGCCAAGTATGTTTTTCGGTTCTTCCGCAGAACGTTGCCTGAATGACGATCGGGATAGTGAAAGAATGTGGAAAGGCCGTTAAAGGCGTCAAAGAAGGCCGCGTCAAATACCGCTACGTCCTCAAGTGAGTATTGGATTTAACATCAGCGTAGTGTCCTCGATTGACTTCCGGCGTAGGCAGGACATTGATAGTTGAACCATCTACATACTCACGTGAGCGGGTACGCTCGCGTCACATTTTCGGTGTCTGTGTAGGGCCGCGTCGTCGTTTTTTTAGAGTAAAAAGGACCATCATGGACATCAATGTACACTTCTGCCTTCCCTGCATATCGATGACGAATATTCTTCAATTGTTCTTGTTACTTTTTTGGTGTTCTTATTGCCTCGATCAACGCTTACGTAACGTATCGGTCCTTGCACCGCAACAACGATGAGCTCGAACCCAGAAGCACCGGCGGCAACGTCGACAACGAGCACAACGTCGACATCGACCACGAAGAAGGCGGGTGGTGCTCGACTCCCATCTCTCAATCAGCTCGCAGCACGGATAAACAGCAATGCAGCTGCCAATGGCGTCACCCCACCGCAGGTCGCGACCTCCGCTCCCCGTCCTCGCCTGGCTGCGTTTGCATTGCGGACAGGTTCGACCACGAGCGTAAACACAGTGACATCGACAGCAGACTCGATGGCTGTCAATGCACCCAGCACGCGGTCGGTATCCCCTGCGATGAGCAGTGTGTCGAATCAGAGCAGCACTGTTCCGCTAGAGGCAAGCGGTGGAGAACCCCTGACGACAGAGAAGCTCGAGAAATTGAACCAAGAAACGGCGTCGGTGGACGGGACAGTCAAGATCGCTGTCGCAGAGGCACCGAAGAAGAAGGTCGGATACAAGAACATCCCCAGCTTGGATGCGATAACCGCGCGGATCGCAAAGCAGAGGGCGATGAGCCTCAGTATCGATGGATCGGCGACACCGCCCGAGCCTGAGATGATCGAGGACCCGAAGACGCCTGGAGTGCCGATGAAGGCTCCAGAGCATCCTTTGCAGTTCTCCTGGTGAGTTCGTTCTTTCCCTCGTGGTATCTGTCGTAAGATCGCGCCTAGGACGATATATCACGACACGAAAGCAAAATATCCTTTCACCCCTGCGTCTGCTGTTCCAGGGCAAGCGTTCAGCCAGCCTGCACCTGGAAGCGCCGGCAGCGAGGCGCCCTACTCAGCCTCGCACCCACCGGAAAGCACCGAGTACGAGGCAGGCCTGACGATCATCGGCGAGTTCAGCACGGTCGAGGAGTTCTGCCGGTACTTCAACTGGCTGAAGCCGCCGTCGAAGCTGGAGAAGAATAGCAACTACCACATCTTCAAGTCTGGGATCAAGCCGATGTGGGAGGACCCTGCGAACGCGAACGGAGGCAAGTGGGTGCTGACGATGAAGAACAACCCGGCGCTGCTTGACCGGTGCTGGAATTGGCTGGCGATGGCGCTTGTTGGCGAGGAGCTGGAGGAGGGGGACGAGCTTTGCGGTGCGGTTGTTAGTTTGAGGAGCAAGGTGGATCGCATCCAGGTGTGGACGCGCAGCAAGGACGATGTGGAGAAGCTGAACGGTATCGCTAAGAGGCTCGTCAAGCTGTTGGATGTTAGCGAGGCGGATAATATTGGTCTGGAGTTCCAGGTGTGTAACCTGCTTCTTTTCAGGCAGTTCGTTCGTTCAATGCTGCATATCTGTTCAGTATAACAGCGATGATCGGCCTCCCCCAAACAAATTCCTTTCCATCCAATCAATGCCAAATTCTTCCTTCCGGTCGTCCTTCCAAGCACCGACTGCTACTGGTCCCCCTCAGGTGTCAGGACCCGGAGGTGCGTTCGGCGGTTTTGGTACTGGAGTAGGGATCGGCGGCGGCTGGAAAGGCTCTTCTCTCAAGAGGTCTTGATCTCGATATCTCTTGCGCCTTCGATTCAAAGACACAAACGACGAAGTTTAATGGGCGATGCTTGCATCCACCCGCGGTGTACGAATGATGTGTATTTTTCTCGCATGAAATGATATTCTCTAGCATTTGTACTCAGCGGTGATATCTCGTTTGAGGAGGGGTTCCTTCTCGTTGGCTGACACGATTCATGGGAGGATCAACCGCTCTGGAAGGGCATTCAGAGATCATGCGAGCAGTGTGGAGGGTGAGGTCAACTGATCTCATCAGACAGTATGACGAAGGTCATCTCCTCGAAGCCCGAGTTAGCTCCTAAGTAAGTCCAGCTGTATAAGAAGGTGCAACAGATCCTACTTCTCGCCTCACAGTTCTTTCTATCTTCCACTCGACATGCCTCTTCCCACTCGCAAGATCGGCAACGACGATGTCTCGGAAATCGGGTTTGGGTTGATGGGACTTTCAGCCTTCTATGGACCCATTGGAAGTGACGAGGAACGTTTCAAGGTGAACATACATCTATGAAGAATCAAATTCTGGTGACTGACTCCACTCGAAGGTCCTTGATGCTGCACTAGAAGAAGGGTGCACCTTCTGGGATACTGCAGATATTTATGGCGATAGCGAAGACCTAGTCGGAAAATGGTAGGTAGAACCAGCTCATGGGGCCGTTGGGGAGATTCATACACAATGTACAGGTTCAAACGCACTGGAAAGCGAGATCAGATTTTCCTGGCGACCAAGTTCGGTTTCACACCCACCTTCCCCAATGGAAAACCGGAATACGTCAAGTCTTCCTGCGAGAAATCTCTCAAGAGGCTCGGAGTCGAGACAATTGACCTTTATTACCTCCATGTTTGTTTTCGTTATCTATCTGCCTCTGAACACTTATGACCCGGCAAAACAGCGAGCTGATAAGACAGTTCCCATCGAACATACCGTTGGCGCAATGGCTGAACTCGTCAAGTACGTCACTTCTTTCGCTTTTCACTCCAAAATTATGCCGGTGTTCTGAGACTTATCCGTTCAGGGAAGGCAAAGTACGCTACCTCGGTATCTCGGAAGTTAGCGCTGAGACTCTTCGTCGCGCGCACGCCGTGCACCCAATCGCTGCGTTCCAAGTCGAGTACTCACCTTTCTGCCTGGATATCGAAGACGAGAAGATCGCGCTTCTCAAGACCTGTCGCGAGCTGGGGATTGCTGTGGTCGCGTACTCGCCTCTTGGACGGGGAATGCTGACGGGCACCTACGTAGGTGACGTTCTGAAGAATCCTTCGGCTCGGCTAATTTTCCTACCAGAGATCGCATTCTGATATCCCTCTTGATGACGCGAGGACGCACATCCCTCGGTGCGTCGTTCTCATCGATACATCGCTAATGTTCAACACTGACGAAATGCGCATGCTCAGATTCGGCGAGGCAAACTTCCCAAATATCGTCAAACTTGTGGATGAAGTGAAAGATCTCGGCAAGAAGCACAACGCTACGGCCAGTCAAGTCACGCTTGCGTGGCTGCTTGCACAAGGGAGCGACATCATCCCCATTCCCGGGACTAAGAAGATCAAGGTTCGTGAAGACTCAGATTTCTAAGTGACATGTTGCTCAGCGTGCCCCATAGTATCTCAAGGAGAATTTAGATGCGTCGAAAATCAAGCTTTCTCCGGAGGAGGTCGCGCAAGTTAGGAAGATAGCGAACAACGCGGATGCGACTGTAGGAGATAGGTACCCTCCTGCTTTGATGGAACAATTGTTCGCCGATACTCCCAGCCTATAGTCTTCGTTTGTTCTGCGCCTGATTGGGAGGCGCACTTGCCTGATTTGGAGATACTTTGTCGCGTTGCAACCGATCAGATTATTTGCCACCTTGAACACATCCATAAAGCAGATTTATGCTGGGTGCCTTGAGATAAGTACCTCCCGGGAACACAAAAGTGTAGGTTTTTCTCAAGTCAAACCTTAGGTTGCTGGCCTTATAATTTCTCTTATAAGCCGATTCCACCGACGCGTGAAGGAGTGCAAATGTAGGGATAGTAGACAATTTACTTCACAAATCGTCTTAATCACGAAACGAGGCGATATTCTTGAAAGCTGAAGGGATTGCTGCTAACTTATGTTAGGACGATCCCACGCTGAACATAGCCGCATCTTCCATATAGAGCAGCTGCCAAATCCCTCTGGTGACTCTAGTATAAACATCGCACGTTCACACCTCCACAGCACACACTTTACCACCTCCGCTGTCAAGCCCTCAGTCCCATTCTTGGATCAAGCAGATCTCTTTCTAATGTTTAGCCACTCCAAGAACGTCTCGATTCATGGGGGGCAGTTCAATGTCAACAACGACGTCAAACCCATCATTGCAAAGTTGGCTACTAGTAGGGAGCCAGGTGCGTTAGGGAGCCTTGGTCGACAAGCTCTCGTATTAAACCAAGGCCAGATCTAGGCGCACTTCTTGATCATTGTGCACTCAGCGCTTACTCGACTCGAAGGAGCGATTTGATCCTCCTAAATGCAATCCCAACACCCGCAAAGCTCTGATTGCTGAAATTATGGAGTGGGTCACAAACGACGAGGAAAGTCCGTCTATTCTGATGATTCATGGACCAGCTGGGGAGGGAAAATCAGCTCTGGAACAAACAATTGCAGAACTATGTCGGAAGAAAAATCTCCTGGTGGCCAGTTTCTTCTTCTCAAGAACGGCGGTTAATCGAAGTGATGGAAATACCCTCTTTCCGACACTAGCGTATCAACTCCTACAGGCTTTCCCAGACACGCGCAAACAATTAGAAGCCTCTGTATCGGCGGATCCAGCTATCTTCGAAAGATCCCGCCTCACTCAGATGGAGAAACTCTTCCTTGAGCCGCTCCAAAAATCCGTCGAATTGAAATATTCTTGGATTTCGTGTATTTCTTCCTTCTTGGAGAACGTGATGAAGGACGACACACATCCATACCCTAGGCTGGTAGCCATCGATGGACTTGATGAATGTCAGGAAAGAGATATTCAATGCGACATTCTACGCATCGTCGCCGGCATCATCCCACGTCTTCCATTTCCGCTACGCTTCCTGATCGCATCGCGCCCAGAATCTCACATAATGCAGACGATCAAGGAGGTTCGCACCACGTACAACGTACGAGTTCACCAAGTCGATCTACGAGACCTCCTGGACGCCGACCACGATATTCGCATATTTCTCTTGCAAGAATTTGAAAGGGTAAAACGGTCTCATCCCCTGGGAACACACCTTCCTGATGTCTGGCCAGACGAGCAGGATATCGAAACCCTGCTCATGAAGGCGTCAGGACACTTTATTTATGCATCAACCGTGATGAATTATATTCAGTCACGAAAGCACAGACCGGAGGATCGATTGCAAGTCGTTCTCGGTCTCGCTCTTTCCCCAGCAGAAGATCGACCTTTTTTGCAGCTGGACGCTCTTTACTCTCATATTTTCTCTGCCGTTGAAAATCTAGATGTCGTTCAGAGGATACTAGGGATCGTCTATCTAGCTACTAACCACGCGTCGCAGTTCGAATTATCCATTCAGGATACGACACCATCAGTAATCGAGGACCTTCTCATCTTCAAGCCTGGTGACGTTGCCCTAGCGCTCGACGATTTGGCTTCTCTCTTGAATGTGTCTGACCGGGAATCCCCGATCGAAATCTTCCATACCTCCTTGCTTGACTATCTTAGCGAGACCTTGAGGTCTGGGTGTTATGCCCTTGACCTGCAGCTAGCCCATGAAGCGCTTGCGAGGTCCTATTTGCGGAATATTGTTCGGCTCTCGTCTGGTGGGTTGTCCGTTTCCGACAAGTCTGTGTTGGGTCACTTGGTGCTAACCGACGAAATTATAGATGAGGATTGCTCATTGTCCTCAGCTCTTTCCAGATATTGGACACTCTCTAAACTGCGATGGGGCCTGTCTTTCTTGAATCATTGCAAGTTTTCAAGGATATCTGAAGATATACGCCAATTTGTAATGTCCTTTCGGTTCCTCCCATTCCACGAAGATTTCTTCGCAAAGGAGATATGGAATACCCCTATACCAGAAAACTCAAACAAATTAAATGAATTCGATTTCCCCATGTTCATCATGCTGTCAACTTTTGGACTTTGCGCAGTGCTCAACCGCCCGGTGCGTCATTCGAATACCCAGTTGATCGGGCTTATGTATTTAATGGCTAGGGATTGTGCTCTAGGAGTTCCAAGTGCCTGAATGGCACGACGTGTTGGATAAGGAAATAAATCATTACCTCGCACTCGAGGGCTGGCAATTGGGAGGTACCTACCGAATCACCCCATTCCGAGGCATTCTTGATCAGGTAATTTATATTCTATTTTAGGCATATTTATATTTCTAATGGGCCGCACACTGACATCGCTGTCCTTGCGCTGTCTACTAGTTCATCTTGCCAGACACGTTTTCAGACTCTGAGAGTCCTTTAACTTTCAAAGCATCTTTGTTCAAGGCGACACTTGCTACCATGGGCCATCTGGTCAAGACCTTCCAACCACCTACAAATATGGTTGCATTCTTGTCTCAGTTTTGCTACGAACGCAGCCCGGCATTTCAAAATACCAGCTTCGTTCAGCATCCGAGGGATACAAGACTAATAGCTGGGATTTCTACTTACTTCGTCAAGTTTCTTGTAGATTGAGCTACCGTTTAACTGTCCCGGCGGCATACTGGGATAGAGTTAGCTCACTGGGATTGACAACACTTTCATGTATTGAGATAAGTATCAATATTTTACTCATCTTTTTCTCTATTCTAGCAGTACCTATGATATTTTCAGCACCTCGGCCAAACTCTGTCAGACGTCATACTGCGGAGCAAGGAAGGTACTCCAACTTGGGGTCATGGTCTACAAGCGGGAACCAGCGACTACCAACCAGGACGTGCAACGGGACAGCAAGGTAAGCGTGCGTCGCTGTAATTGTCCACAGCAACGCCAGCCCGTCATGCAATCAATCAAGCGAAGAAAATGAACTCATCCACCAGAGTGATATCTGCGAGCAGAGTACAACTAAATGTTCTATAGCAGACTCTGATCAGTCCGATGCGTTGACCTGTGGCGAGGATTTCTCATCACGATTAGATATACAAGCACTATAACACCAAGTCCATAACTCCAATCCATCCAGTCGTGTGCAGTCCATATCTGTCCAGGCGTCCTCCCGTATTACTCACGATCAATACAACATCCCAAACCTTCCTGTCGACTGCCACTCCTCCGGGGGTATATAGCTGTTCTGTGGGCGTACGGGCAGCTCAACGCGGACCCATAGCGTGGAATCCTTCTTCCTAGTGCTGCTACCCTTATTCCCGATATTGTTATTGACACCCTTCTCCTGCTCGTCGAGGTGCCTGAGCGTGAGCGATGCGAGGGGCGCGAGACCCTCCGATTTCGAGAACGAATTTCGGGGAAGCTCCTGCCGCGTGCTGGTGGTCGGCAGCGTGGAGACGGTGGGAAACCAGCGTTCGAGGTGGATGATGAGCATCACGTTGACGAAACCTGGAGGCCGTTGTTTGCTTCAAGAACTGGAAACCCGTAGAGAGCAGACGCACCCATGAGGTTGAAAATCACGGAGCCGAATGTCATTGCCCAGAATGGGACTTTGCGCCCATCAAAGTCAGAGAGTCGAATGAGCATGATGGGCAACACGAGTATCGTGTACGCAACCTGAAATCATCAGACTTGCTCTTTCGTTATAGCGGAACACGACCTACAGGATACCTGCAACAAACACTTTTCAGACGAGAACAATTTTCTGCAGCGGGTTATCGAACGTACCAGACCATCCGTTTGGAGATCATCAACGTCGCACTATCGATCCTATTCCTCCCAGTATCGACTAGCGTATCAACACCTCTTGGCCGAGTGACTCGTATGCGCCACTTATTATCACCGTTCTTGACGAGTATCCCGCGTAGGCGCAGCAGCACGACCACATATAAGACGAAGCAGATCGAGGCCGACAAGAACGCCTAGTTTGCGTTTGATGATAAAGAAAACGTCAGGTATACACTCGCGATAAAAGTTGAAGAATATATGCGCTTACGAAGAAATATTCCAAGAATATTTGCTCTTTCGGATAGTTCGAAGTTATCCAACACCTTCAACTGCATCAGCTCGAGCCAGAATCGATGGCAGGATAGGATCGTACCAGACGCCAGATATGCCATAGTAAGGGCCATTATCAGTTTTCTCGATAGCGATGGGCCCAATCCATACGAGAACGACGATCAGGGTCCACGCGAGACAGATGAGGGCCAGGAACAGCGCTGTGTCCGCACGAATGCGAAGGAAGAGGAGGCCGAAGAGGTGGATGGCGATGACAACCGTCCTAAGGGGAGAATGGAGTAGGTAGGCAAAGATGAGGGGTGAAAGATGGTAGAATCGTACCAAATCGACGCTCCGAGGTTGCCAGCATGTTTGATGCCTCCTACACCGCGCGTATGGTAAGTTGCGACGAGAATGAGGAGGCAGGACGGGCGAGAAAGACGGACCTTGAGCACTACAAACATTGCCTACTTCAATACGACCCTTCGCCACCCATTCGAGATTCATAACACTGCCGACGCTTTGGAAGAGGTTGGCGATCAGGAGTGAGATCAAATATCCGAGCATGTTCGTGTTCTTGAAGGTCGTTGGGTTGGGTCGTTTGAACTGCTCGCCGATGGGTCTAAGTCAAGACTCCGGATAAGGGCTGGGAGGAGGGCGAGAACGCACGATTATGAGGTATATGATAGAGAGTAGAGAGGTGAGGCCGGCGAGAGCGATGAACTAAGGATGTTAAAGACGATCAGGATCAGTGAGTGCTGAAGACTTGAAGCAGTAGGCTACACACCGTCACTCCGACCTTTTCACCTCCCTCATAGAACCGAATCGTTTGGAAAGGAGGCATGATTTAGTGCCTCAAGAAGACGGAACCGAGACGATCTGCATGAAGGAGTGGACTGGTCGGGGTATGCCTGCCCTTCCAGAAGGACAGGAGGGACGAAAGAGCGAGAGGTCGGAAAAAATACAACGAAAACCCAAAAGTGTGAAGAAAAACTTGAGGATATGCTAAGGGCTCGTGTTAGGCTCAGAGGGGATAGACGAGGACCCGCACGAAGCCCCACCAAGATAGAACAGGGAAAGTACCCTATCGAAGGGGAAAGTGAAAGGGCAAGAAGGAAAACGTCCTCCAGTCGGGTAATGCGGTGTTTAGTAAATGTTGAACATCACGAGAAGAGAAGTCGAGAGCGCGAGTGTGGGTCGCGTCGACGTGACCGAGACTTAACGAAGTACGTTGACGTCTCCAAGACTCGAGGCTGATGCTTCCAACCGTTGCCTGTGATTCGACCGGTCGACAAGAATCAAGGGTGCCACCCCAACCTATAAACGATTAGATGTAGGCCCATCAATTTGAACGGTGTGGCGAAGGAGACTGAAGGAGAAACGGCTGCAACTCACATTAATCGTCACCAAACGACCGTGCATCAAAAGCGGTGGGGTGTCTATTCTGAGGGCGATATAAGGCTATTAGCACCGTTGGGCGACAACGCGGGTGCCCATAGCGATGCGGGATGTGGGGGAAATATCATGCTGCATGTTGTATTTGCTTCTTCTGGGAACTATAACTGGAACTGGACAGTGCCGTGTAATAAAAGCAGTTCCTCGTTGGAAACGAGGGAGGACTCAAAATGATCGCAGCGTCCCGCGACCGATGTATCGACCGCGACATGGACCTATGTCGTCAACATTCTCGCTTGCGCGTTTGCTCTTTTTCGACACCCCTGCGACCGACGCCCCGACACGGTGGGCACTGGAGGTTATTGTGACGGTTCTCTAATACTGTGAACTATCACATCGAACACCAGTCAGACCTTCGCGACAGAAGCAGGACTTCTACTCACAGCTTGCCAACAATACGATTAGGCCGCCGCGACTGCGTCAACCCTTGACCCCTCCCGCCTAACCTCTGTCTCAACAGCACCATGACATGGCTTGATGATGTGCAGGCTGTGAACTACGTTGACCATCTGCTCCTGTCTTGACTTGAACGACCAGTAGACACCAGTTGTGCATTTGACCGATGTCCCCGTTGACGTGGGTATCCCGTTGGCAACGACTTGTGAAATCTTTTCACAAGGAACAGCTGGCGCAAGAATATGCAGTTTCTGAAAGGGAACTTGGAAAGCCGGATTTTTGCGATGAAGATCAAAGAAAGTAGACTCAAAGTTGAGCTGAAGGGATGTTGAACGGTCTTCCAAGTCATAGTTTTGCAACTTACTTACGCGTCTTAGCCCCGGCCCGTGACAGTCGGCATTCCCCGACGTGCTGTTAACTGACGTCATACTCTCATTCCGTCCAACGTCCACAGTCTGTAGATAGGGTCTTCCAGGAGTGACCCATATTTTCCCTATGGTTCCCCATGTACAGTCTCTCTGGGGTGGCTCTTCCATGTCAAAAGAGCTCAAACGGAGCTGTCCGCGTTCGCTCTTTACATTCCTCCGACGCCCTGTATTAAGTCGACTCCTGAAGAGATCTTGGAGGACCTTTCTTTTTTTCTTAAAAAAAAAAAACTGCCCCTACCTCCTGGAAGTGACACAGGATATCTCTCATAACGAGCTCTCGCCACTGGCTGTCTCGGTCCTGCCTCCTAGGGTAGGGCTGCATCCGGTGTCTCGCCCCTTTTCATTCAACAGGAGTCACGATTCGAGGGGTTTAGATACAATATTGCCTCTATTGCCTCCTAATAAGCTGTCATCTCTTTATCGATGCGGTCGCTCGGTCGATTTTTTTTTCCCTTCCCCCTTGGAGAACAAGGTCGGCTTCACGTCCCAGTCTCTCCGCCTATCGGTCTGCCACTGTCCATGATCTCACAATTCCCGACGTCGAGGGCCGAGGGGGTTTCTGGACTCCACAATATCGTCTCAGAAAGCCTCAGGAATACCGATTCGAGGCATCGGGTGATGCTGGTTAGAAAAAATGTGGTCACCGTTGCGGTCATCGCCGGCTGCAGGGCGGATATTAAGGCATTCGAGGACCATCGACGCCTTCCTTCAGCCATGAGGCACGAGAATGCAGATCCCTTTCGTCTTCATCTGGACACCTCTGTAAAAGGGTCCTCGATAATCCATCGATGGATAGCAGTCGAAAGGCCGCAGGTTCATTCGCATATCATGCGCTTACGATCGTCAGGCCTCGCCCTTCTGAACCGCGGTTCTTCGTATCTCTTGAAGTGGAAAGGAGGAACCGCTGGCGCACTTAAGTGGGCCTTCGAGAACTCGTGTATCGTTATCCACCCATGGGCGTATTTCGGCAGTCTTGACGATTTTTTTCCTTGAGAGCGCTGGTCACAGCGATTCTCTTGGATCTACTTGGACCCACAACTGATGGCTATGGATCACGATCGCGATTCGTCTCCAGAAGGCATCGTCGATATGGAGGATGAGTTTGGCGAGTACCCAATTGTTCCTTGATTTTGTATGTTGAAATTCCAGCAGTCGCCAAATGAAGACCCAGACCGTCGGCTTCCACTCCCCAATCCAGGACACAATAGCCCCACTCACACCTCCATCTATTCTTATAATCGACGAGATTAGCGAGCTGGTCATGGGGGCAGAAAGCAGTGCAAATCGGCATTTTTTTTTATTGTGAGCGTAGCACAGCTGGGGTGTAGAAAGTTCCTGAGTAGCGAGCATCCAGGAGGCCTGGTCAATCAGAGGGCGTCGATGCATCGATGCATAGATACCCTTCAATCAAAAGTGACATGACAAAGGGCACAATCGGAGCGAAGAGATGATTCATGAATGATGCAGGCTCCAAGCAGAAAAATAAAGGTGCAAAGCAGCAGGGTTTACAGCTACCTTTAGGTGCTGCGGACGACGGTTGACCACGACAGCGAGGAGAACGTCGTAGAAAGCGAAAGAACAAGAGCGGACTTAGTCTAAAATTGACCATCAAACGAGATCAAACGCCGTGCCGCTTCGCCCACGCAATCGTTGTTCGCCGAGCGGAGGTATTTGTCATCCGTGTGAATGTTATGTAAGCAGCTGCTGGAAGCGCAGCTGTGATTCGATGAGCCCGTCCCTTTCTCATCCACCAACCACCACAACACTCCAACCATCTCCTTTGTTCGCCTTCAAACTTGTTGAAAAGCCTACGGCTCTTTTCTTTTCCCTTCAATAACCTTCATTTCTCGCGTCTTCGGTGCCCCGTGCCGCCGTATTGCCCAAGTTAACGCCAGTCATGCTTGTCGACCACCACCTCTTCCAACCATCGTATTTTTCATCTGGGTCCTCCTCGACGTACCCGGAATACCCGACAGAGCTCAGCGAGATCTTTGACACTGAGCTTTTTAACAGCACCTTCGCCTCTGCGTCCACCGGTTCGCGCGGGTCGACGCCTCAGAATCTTTTGACCCCACCGCAGGACCCCATGCCCACATCCTTCCCCGAGGTGCACGACGAAGAAAGCAACACCAGCGGTTTTTTCAACATCTTCGAGGATGAGCTGAAGGCGATGGACAACCTCTCCATGCCCTCGTCCTCCGCCAATTTCATGGGCGGCATTGATGGCACCTTCAGTGGCGGGGTGACTGGCTACGGCATCGATATGGGTGGGTTCGGGATGAGCATGGACATGTCGAGCATGGGTATGAGCATGCCATCCATCGAGGACCCTATGCAGGCCCAGGGCATCGACCCTCAGCTCGTCGATACGCCATCGGCCATTAGCGATCATGGCGATGATGAGTCGGACGAGAAGGAGTCGCCCGTTTCGCCTGTAATTGAGAAGAAGGAGCCAGAGAGGCCGACCATCACCATTGCGCCCGTCAAGGTCGGTGGACACGGCAAGGCACGGAAAGGCACCGTCCAGAGCGGTGGCGTGGTGAAGAAGACGGCTTCTATCAGCACCAACAAGGAGAAAGAGAACCCCACACCCAGCCTTGCGTCCACCTCCAAGAAAGTGGCTCCTATCAAGTTTAGCAACAAGCCTGCTGTTCCGGCCACCTCGCCTTCGACCACCACTCCCTTCCTCACCGGCGACACCCCCTCCAAGACCAACAGTGAGGCTGGAGACGAAGATGATGATGAGCTTCCTCAAGACTGGCGGCCTTCGCCTGAGGTGTTTGCCAAGATGACAAGCAAGGAGAAACGTCAGTTGAGGAACAAGATCAGTGCGAGGAACTTCCGGGTGCGCCGAAAGGGTGAAATTTCTCTCTTTTTTTCTCTCTTTTCCGATACTGATCGTACGACACAGAATACATCTCCACCCTGGAGGGTGACATCGCCGAGCGCGATCGGTTATTGGATCACTTCCGCACCCAACTCGGGTCCCGCGAATCCGAGAACCTTGCTCTGCGCCAGGAAATTGCCGCTCTCAAGAAGGCTCTCCTCGAGGGCCGCGGTGGCACCGTCAACCTTCCTCCTCCTGCCCCTCTCCCAGAACAGAGTGCCGCCGAGGCCCTGGCCGCATCATCAACGATCAATGCTGCTACATCAAGTTCCCACCCCAGCTCGCCGCTCCTCACGGCGAACACCCTCAAGGACCTGCCAACGACGCCCCGTATGGGCAACCGGTTCTGGGGCGGTGTTGGTATGGGCGGTGGTATCACGCCGGTGCACACCACGTTTGTTCCGGACATCAGTACCATCGTCCGCAAGGGTCTGCAGGAGAACATGAACCCGGCTCTCAATGCGCAGGCCAACCTCAACACTACGGGCAACGGCCTTGCGAACAAGAGCCTGCCTGGATTCGATGGATTCGCGGATGTGAATCCATTCACGATGAAGACGCTCGATGCGTATGTGTTTTATCTTCTTTTGATTTTTTTTTTTCTTTAATTATTTTCTGACGTAATATTGTTGTCTATCAGGTATCGGATGCATCTGTGGGGCAAGATGGCAGCCCAACAGCACATGCACCAACAGAGCCTGGCGCACCACACCCAACACTCGTCGCCTTCGGGCCTCGCGTCGAACATGCGCCCGCATTTCTTCACGGGCACGAACAAGGCCAACCTGGCACCTTCTCACACGCCGTCGCCGAATTACGGCTCAACTTTGTCGGCATTGCTTTCGGGCAAGCACTCCACTGCCGCGTCGTCGACCTACCCTACACCGCCAACTTCGCCTCTTATGCCCTCCAAGTCGATCGTCTCGCCCAAAGAGCGCGAGATGCAAGCACAACGCGAGAAGGAGCAGCAACAAGCTATGTTCGCCGCCATGGCCAGCCAAACTATCCTACGCAAGCTCGGGTCGGCGTTTTGGGATGCCTTCACCGGCTCCTCTTCCTCTTCCTCCTCCTCCAGTGTTCCCTCCAGTGCTAGCCACGGACACGCGATGTGGGACGCGGACAAGGTGCAGAGGGTCCTTGAGGGCAAGGCCGTGCTTCGTGTTGTGGATGTAGAGCCACAGACACCCCCGCAGACCCCTCGCCTGCGCGCGACGACGCCGATCGTGAGGCCGATGGCCTCGATGGCGAGCTTGCAGGATGAGAAGAGGAGGTGTGCGTCGAGCACGATGTGTGATTTGTTGGAGGAGAGCATGAGGAGTTTGACGTTGGGGAAGAAGTGTTAAGCGGTGGTTGCGTGTGGGTGAGGAGCGGTGGCGGTGGGGAAGCGAGTTAGAAGATAGTGGAAGGCGGAGATCGTGTTAGAGGCTACGACGGGAGAGGTGTTTCTGTTTTTGGTTTTGGTTTGCCTTCGCTGTTTGGCTTTGCGTGAAGAGAATTCTTGTACGTCTCTATGTCTCTCCGTGGTGGTGTAAGTGTACCAATGTACTAATTCTTATATATAGATATCATCGTCGAAAGCTGAAAAATAACTTGCGGACTGTCCTTGATCATGAAGAGATTGAAGTAAAGAATGAAGAAAGAGAAGTATCTTTTAATTGCCTGGTGTACCGTCTATCTGTTTTCTTTTAATCATAACCCCCCTCTCACTCCATACCTCTTTTTATTACTCG